GTATTACAATTATGCTGAAATGAAATTTGTTTTGGATCCAGTTTTTGTTGAATTGTCAACGTGTGCGGCACTAACTTTCCAAAACGATTTTTCATATGTAATTCTCCATGTAAAATACGAACTACTCATTCGTCTGATGTGCCTATGGCATTAACAATTTCACGCTTAGTTAAACTTGAATGTCCACTAACAATATTATGAACTTGCTCAATGACTTCTGGTATGGTTGTGGTTTTTAGTTGTCCTTTGCGTGCATCGTCTTCAAGCCTAGTACGGCCACGTTTAAATTCGCCAGGTCAAAATTAAATGGTGCGTTTTGATGGTGAGGACTTCTTATACTCTTCCAACAATTCTTCATAGATTTCATTTGCTTTGTAAGCTTTCAAAACAAAGAATCTAATCACTGCGCGACATTCAATTTTTTCCTTATGAAAAAAATACTCTGACACGTCAACTTCAAATGGCTTGTAAACAAAGAATTAACAGAAGGACTTTTAACTTAGCATATGTTCTCACGACAGATGTACCAACTTGAGAAAAATAATTTGGAGCTAGTAATGCTATTTTTGGTGAGAACAGAAACTTTACAACCAACATGTATATATTTATCTACATGCATATACACATGTATACATACAAGTATATACCATATATGTGCTTAAGTATTTAAATATACACAGATAGCCAAAATAATAAGTGCAAACAGTTTTGCATTTAAAGAATATTTAACAAACTTAATATATTGTATTTATTGAAAATACTAAAGTTTGGAGTTAAATATACATACTTGTACATACATAATTCCTTTTTAAGCTTCTCGTTCATGCTGAATATTACAGTCGAATTTCTCTATTACGAACTTCTGTACAACGAAGTATTTTTATAACGAATTAATTTCCAGAACACTGCAATTTCATTCAATTTTCAGTAAGTTTTGCTCTTTCTATAACGAATTTTTTTATGCTACGTACATAACTGGAATTTTCATGCCGTTTTGTTTCTTACCAAAAAAAAGCAAAAATACATAACCATAATTATGGCTCGTTTTGTCATAGATTGGAGAAGCTTAAATTACTTTTTATTGGAAAGTCAAAAAATACGTGATACTTCAAAGGCATAAAATCTTTGTATGTAGATTGTGAGTTTAACAAAAAGTCTGCATGACAAGAAAATTTTACTTAAAACGCCTTTTGAATCTCGATAAAGAGTTCAGTTCTCAAAACAGACCGCGCTTATCAAGAATTTCAAAGAAAAATTGAAAAATATAGAGCTTAAGACTAAAAATATGTCATTAAAAAGTCTTTGCAGCTTGCAAATAATTAAATTAGTTTTTCATTTTCTACAAAATAGTAACGCATACTCATTATTCGTCAATATTTGTAGATACATTCCTCGAAAAACTCATATGAAACCACGACATACCACAAAGCTCACCATACCAATTATATGTGTGTATATGCAGCCGATTCCTTATCATATCTTACTTTAAAAAACATACAAAACTGATAAACACATATGCAAAGCTAGCAGAAATTCAAATATTGGCTACATACTTACATACATACATATGTATGTACGTTTGCTGATTTCTGAAAAATGGTATGCTCTGCAAAGTAGTTTTTATATTTTTATCGAAACACATTTACGAATACTGCAATTACTCAACTCACAAAAAGTACCTTGAATTGTTGCTTTCCACATTCATTTTGAGCAGATTGCATGCCAGCAAGTACGCATTACATTTTGCAAATTACCTTTACCTTTGATTTCTTTCATTGTAAATACAAATATATGTATGTATATACACAGGTAATAAGTGTACAGATATAGAAATTAGTAATATGGATATTCCGGTTTTGCCAAAAAAGCTAAGATGCTGCACTTTCCCTTTGGCTTTTTGAACAAATGTAATGCTATACGACTGCTTCATCATTATAATATTATTTTTTAAACATAACCACACGCTTTAGAGTTAAAAAAACTTGAAAATTATTGATTTTTCATTCATATTCCAAAGCCTTATGCGAGGAATTGCTTTAAAGACCGGCTCAACCATGCCTTTTACAGACGACTTCACACGCTATCCAAAAGGCGGCCGCCACTTTAACAACACTTTTGCAATCTTACTCTTATTTGCATTTCCCTCAATCTTAATTAGCCACTTTTCCGGTTAGTTCCCATACGCAAATCCGATTCAACACAATTACACTTTTCTCCGCTATGTTTTGTCACTTGTTTGCTTACCTTGATAAGTCGTCGTCAGCCCCCTGTTTAACAACGTTGACAACATTAGCTTCTTCATTTTTGTCTACGTTGTCTTCAATATCACTTATGGTGTTACTGCTATCGTCAACGTTTAGTTGTCGCAGCAAAACTCCATTATCTAATTTTGCCAAATTTATTTTAGATCGCAGTCTTCTTATTCGTTGCTCTGACATATTTACAGTTGTTTTGCTCGTATTTAAAACAATTTTTACAACATAAATGCTTTAGGTATATACATATATGCTCTTTTAACTTAATTCACCTTCACTAAATCTCATTTACACACTTAAGTTTCACCGAAATATACATTAACTTTCATATTAATTTTCAAAAGAGCAGCACAACACATTAATACCTAAAACCTACTCTATTCAATTTTATTCACCAACTGAAATAAACTTCATGGTATTGATAAAAAAACTGAAAGTGAACAAATACAGAGTGGTCTAATTGTGCTAAAAGCTAAAATTTTTACATATATGTTACTTATAAAAGAAGTATGGTTCAATTAACACTTTTTTACTTCAATTCATCAAATATTTTATACATCGTAAATAGCAATTTTGCATAAAACGAAGCAAAAACAACTATATTTCCAAGTAATTGCACCTTTGTGTCGCCCTGTACGCTGTTTTGTTACAGAAATTCGTGTTTGTATTTCTTTCCCATTATAATGAACAGCTGTTCCGGAGGAAATAACCCAACGAACATAAACATTCGTTTCCATATATATGTATATAAACAGACACATACAAATAAGTATATAAACATGTACACATGTTTGAGAATGTATGTATCTTCCGTTATTAAAGTTATATCACTTTTAATATTAGGCATTGAATATTTGAAAATTATTATTTTCGAAATTCAATTATAGTAGCTACAAATCGATATTACATATTTATAAAATTTATATATTAAGTTTAAAATATTTTTTAGCAGAGTCAAAAAATTTCACTTAAATATTTACGAGAATTTTCGTTTATTGTTTATTTTCAAATATATATTTATACAATTTTATTTCACAAATATAGGCTTTTAATGAGATATTTAAACAAATTAGTTTTTCTTTAATACAAAAACAACAAATACTACACACAAACAAAGTGCAAACAGTATGACTGATATTAAACTTTATAACTTGGAATAATGTGGAGTTAAAGTTTCGACACATCAATATAAACAAACATACAAGTTCATTAAAAGCAATAATTACGAACAATAATTTAAGTACACACTAATACATATGTACATCGTTAGCTTCTAAAGAATCGAGTCAAAAAACTTTTGTACTGATTATCTTCATTCCACTTCTTGTATCTTTATTCTATCCTTGAAAATGGGAGGAGCCAATTTTACATTGAGGCTTCACTCATAAATATGTACATGTATGTGTGAGTGCCTAGTTGGCACACTACATACACAAATGCTCACAAAAGAATATAAAAATTTTGGTACACTGTAAATATTTGAGAGGACATCCTCTTGTGAATTTCGAAAAATCGATTTTTATTTTCGCATATACAGATATCGAATGTAGATATCTTCAAGAATATTTTCCCAAAATTCGAAGAAATAACATTTTTTATAATAATTTCGGTTTTTTTAAATTTATTTTCAAAGTAACATATTTTACCTAGTTCTTTGATCATAAACTGTAAATTAAATTTTGTAGATGTACATTATTTGTATTTATTTATTAAATATTAAAAAAAAAAGTCCACAAATACCTCTTTTTCTGGCCTGCAAGTGGATATAACCCCTTAATAAAAATTTAAGCTCTTGTAAACAATATGTTGGGCTCGTAGTTGTCAACTTCGAGTTTTCATATTAATCAAAACAGTTAAATTGCAATTCTTACATATTAAATAGTAACAAAATATAAATTGTTCCAAAAATTATTTATATATAAATACTCCACCTCATATTAAAATAAAGTATATGTTTTTTTCAAATAGCGATCGTATTTCGACATCACACTGTAGAACCAGTCATATATCTGCTATAATATGTATAATATAATCTTCTTCTACTAAAGATTGATTTAACATATAAATATTATTGCACTTTTTACATTTTTTTAGTGAAATGATAGAAGTCGCAAAATCCCACACTGAATTTCAAGGCTCCAAGAACTTATTTGATAACCACATTATATAATTTTTCTCAGTGTTTACCTTCATTTGTGCTAGGGATGAAATTATCCTGCGCCAACCAATCACAACACGTCTCCTGCTAAACAATGATGTTTATATATAAGTATGTATGTATATACAAGTAGATAGATAGATATGCACCTTTCTTTTTTTTAGGTTTCATATAGTATTTTTCGCATTTCTTTTTTTTCCTTTAAGCCAATTTAATTTACTGTTGCGATTGCTTCCAAACTTATCCGGTGACTGAATTCGATGCCGTTCTTATGTAGAGGAACCGAAAATCTACCGTTGCAACGTGTGTACGAGTATATGTGCTATGGTGGCGTCTTAACGTGTAGGTGTTGAATGACACCAATACTAAGGTTCTGCTGACCATTGCTCTGTGGTGGTTTATCACAAGCAACGGAAGTAAAAGTTCTGCTCGGTCATAATCGCAGGATACGGTTAATAGGCATAGTTAGCAGTTTTAAAACAGTAAAGCTAAACAGCTCTTCGCCGTCAGTTCATTTAATTTCCAAAGCTCCCTTAGTTCGGTTCATTTGTCGACCGTTCAATAAACGGTTTATTTATACGTAAATAATGCATCCGATTAATTCAAATCCCAGTATCACCGTTGTTGATAAAACTACGCAAAACCGTCCATCGTCTCCGCGACAATTTTTCGAACGTCTCTACGGTCATCTCGAATCAAATGAAACTGTGTCCAATATAAAGCCAAGTGCCGCTAGTGGTGATGCGCAAATCACAACATCTAATGAAACTGAAAAAAATTATGTGGCCAATTTGAGTGCGACAATATGTGATAGCACCTATCAGAGCGATGAGGGCAGTCTGTCTTCTCCAGAAATCTCTATAAACGACGATGAGAGGTGCGATTTTTAAAGTGAAATATAAGTAAAAATTGAGTGCCATGAAGAAGTGTTATGTAGCAGTGTTTATATAATTTTTTTTATCACATCTCCTTTACGGATATTGATTATATACAAGCAATGTGTTTTTCTTACTTTAGATTACCAAATGGATGTAGCATGTATGATCCGTACAGCGCGCCTGATTATAATAAAGTTTGCTACAGTTCAAGGACAGCGTTGCCAAATATTCCATTTGGATTTCCAAGTGAACCAAACTTTACCGCCGGTTTTACGGCCTTTCGTAAGTAATATGTACATATATGCATATCAGTTTTGGTCTCGAACTTTTTATTACAAATTTTATATGTTTTTACAATATATAATTTATAACCAATAAGATGAGAAAACGTAAGTTATTTTTTCTTATGGTGAAAATTAAGATAAGAATTATGTGTACTGTTGTTCTGCAGTTTGGCGATGAAGAAAACTACACGGTGTTCATCATCTCTCTGGCAAATAGCACAGTCTTTCCCTACTTCTTAACAGGTGAAGTTCACTGTTTCGACTGTCCTTTGGTCTCTGGTGACTACCAGTGGATCCATGTTTTGGCAACAATCACGATACGACGCAGAAACTCTCCTTGACAATTGCCAACGAAATAGAAGAGTTACTGAATACAGCCTTTACGCTTCCAATTCGACTGAAATTTTGATTGAAGTCGTGTTTGATAGTAAGGTCTTACCGCCGTCATAGATGTATGAAAGAACTCAATGCTATACCAAAAAGTGTTTATAGCATATGTTTTACGGATTAGAAAAAACATTGGCACAAGTGTATAATATCTGAGAAGAATCACTTTTTTAACTAACTTAAATTAACAACGCTATAAATCTCTCAACTAAATATAGTAAAAAAACAAAAAATCACTAAAATTTTCTTCATTGTATATTTGAATTATTTTATTTTGCACTTAATTTGTATAGAATATAAATATATTTAGTTTATTGTTAAATAAGATAGGGAGGCAATAAATTTATAGACTATTTTTCTGTAGCGGCTATTGATCCTTTTTCGAAGTACTCGTACTTGTTTCATCAGCTTTCCTTTGTGAAATATTTCTCAACTCCATACTTAAGAACATTTTTAAATTTGGATCTGTTATTTTACTTAATATAATTTGTCTCGCCTTTTCGTCATTACCTTCAAAAAGTTTTGATAATGTCTCTGCATACTCGATCCAAACGCAATTCGCACAGCCAGACATGCAGCATGTTGTGGGTTCGGGTGGAATCTATTCATACAACTTTTATTGTGAAAAATGTTTCAACGTATCAAAGTTAGCAAATAGTTACCTCAATTTGGCCCGATTTATCACCATATATACGCAAAAGATAATTAAGAACTGTTTTAGCGGGTTGTATTAAGAGGCCACGAGTACAAGGTTGGCGACATATAGGTCGCATCTCTGTGGAAGAAACCAACAAATTTTACACATTTAATTGAATATAATTAAGACATATTTTTTTGGTAGAAGAATATAATAAATACATTATATACAGGAAAAGTAGCAAAAATGTGTATGAGAAAAATTATGTTAAAACAGTATGTAGATATTACAAATAAATATCTTCAGCTTGCGTTTGATAATATAAATATTATGAATTATTAGCACCCACAGTCAATTAGGAATTTTAGCTTATACCCAATATAGCACATAAGAGCAGTTATCGTCTATTTTTTCCGCAGAAATGTGAGATCGATTTTTGTTTTGTATCTTTTCAATGTGAACTGAAACGGTTTGGTAGTGAAATTGAAAGTCGTTTCGTTTAGAGTTCGTTTCGGCTAATTTCCAATCCCGCTCGCAAGATAGTCGGATCTACGTAAACGAAATAAAGCTGGATTTATATCCGGTCAAGGACTATCAACACGGCAAAACTCCTTACAATTGTTTGGGGAATATTTTCTACTACTACTACAATAACAATAACTAATTTCTTACATGTATATTTTTTTTCGTCCTTATTTATAAGTAGTAATCTAATATCTAAATTGCATATCAAAAAAATTTAGTAAATGTTTTTGGATAAATGAATTGACCAAATTCGAACAGTTATAGGAAAGAACCAGACAAAGTAAAAAAAAAACAAGAAAAAACGTTAACTTCGGTTGCGCCGAAGCTATAATACCCTTCACAAATACAAAGGCCCCTTACAAGAACTTGATTCCGAACGTTCAATTTGTATGGCAGCTATATATTATAGTAATCTGATCTAACCAATTTCTGTGGAAAATAATTTGTTACCTTAAGCAATAGCTCGTGCCTAATTTCGAGAAGATACCTCGTCAAATAAAAAATGCAAGCACTTTACCCCGATCGTTCAGTTAATATGGCAGTTATATACAATAGTCATCCGATCTATACAATTTCTTCAGAGATTAGATTAATGTCTTAAATAATAATACATGCCAAATTTCGTGCAGATACCTCGTCAAATGAAAGAGTTTTCCATACAAACACTTGTTTCCGATTGTTCAGTTCGTATGGCAGCTATATGCTATAGTGGTCCGATATCGGCCGTTCCGACAAATGAGCTGCTTCTTTGTTAGAAAAGGACAGGTGCAAAATTTCAGATCGATAGCATAAAAACTGAGGGACTAGTTCGTATATATACAGACAGACGGACATGGCTAAATCAACTCAGCTCATCATGCTGATGATTTATGTATATATTTTATAGGGCCTCCGACGTTTCCTTCTGGGTGTTAAAAACTTCGTGGCAAACCTAATATACCCTGTTCAGGGTATAAATATACCGTTAATTGTTGAAATTAAACAAATTGATGATGATTTGAACTTACGCAAAAACTACCTAGGGACAAAATTTTAACTTCAGAATCAAAAGCGAATAAAATCGCTTTAGCGCAGTATTCCACTGTATTCTCTTCTTTAAATTCTTACTATAGCTGCAATACTTCGTTATGAATCAGATGTAATCGATATACCATCTGATCAAATATGTGTCGCACCTAAACCTTTCTTATGTTCGTGTGAATATTGTCCCGCGACGCGAAAAGTTTGTCTGGCGATTTTTACCATGGAAAAATTTATAACAACGAGTTTGTTTAAAATTTTGTATTTCTAATGGAAACGAGGCTACGGAATCGATGAAAATGTTGCAGGAGTATTTTGAGAAGTCTACTTAATCACGATTACAAGTATTTCAGTGGTATAAAGCATTCAGTGAAGATCGTGAAGTTATCGAAAACTTGTCACATGCAAGTCATCCATCTACCTCTGTTAATGACAATAACATCGAAAAATAAGAATAAGAAGTGCTTGAAAAACGTCGTGTTGGCAGCGCAGAGATAGCAGAGGTTCACAAAATCTCTTATGAATTCACATAGAGGTCGCAACAAACATGCTTGACAAAGTAGCTGAGGACCCTACATTGAAAAAAAAACGAATAATTACGGATTACGAGACGTGGATAACGATTTGTATTAAATTAGGTGAAAAGTAGTTTATTTTTATCAGTCCGGGTCATATTTGATCAGATGGTATGCATAAGGTAGAGTACGTTTTTTTTCGAAAATAAAAAATCTACACACATAAATTGGATTACATGATTGCTTTAAATTACAATAAATATTTTTTGCTTCTATTTCGTTGGCTGAGTATTTGATTAAAACATCAATAATCGCATATATTATCGCTCCTACTTACTAAAAACGTTTGAAATATTAATACAAAAGCAACTAACTATAATAATTAAATAAAAAAGAAGCAACTATTACCTTATCAGTCGTCGAAATGTTCACGTTCTCTCTGTTGTTGAATGCTTTTCAATTCTACTTTCAAGAAACTTCTCAACACCGGATCTGGTACTTTATTCAAAATAATTTCTTGTGCTTTCTCGTCATAACCATTCAATAAATCCGCAATTTTTTGCGCATATTCAACCCAAACGCAATTCGTGCAACCGGCTAGACAACAGGGTTTTGGTGTGGGCGGTAACTGTAAGTAGCACAGCCGAATCATTTTTAAGAACTACAATCGAAACTACTATAAACCCACCTTAATATTCTCTGGCTTCTGTGTAAGTATCCGCGTCTGTTGATTAACCAAAAATTTTGGCAACGGTTTCAGCCACACGTGTTTATTCAAAATCTGACGAAATGCCGCATACATTGCTAAGCAGATAAGGAAAAATAATAATAATAAAATAAAGGGATACAAAGAGGAAGCGTCCATTTGAAAATCAGGAAACGTGAATTTATAAGTAAAGTCAAAAATTTCTCACGCGCAACTTGGCACAGGTGCGTCATAAAAGTGACAAAAAAAATGCCGCAATGTATATATAATATTATATAATAAATATATACGAGTATGTGATAATGATATAAAAGTTGAAGTTATAAAATACAAACTGCTTACAAATAGGAGCGCTGCCATAAAAAGTGCGAACATATCGAATTTCACAACAAACTTGTTACTAATGAATGAAAGTGCAGGACAGTACAAGATAATTCGCAGAGGTTTACAAAAAATGTACCGCTTAGTAGTTGTATTTAAAACCATACATGCGGTTTTTTCATTTAGACTTTGCGGTAAAACCGGTTAGCGCATAGGAGTTACTCTTCTCCTCCCGCTGCAAACTCGCATTCTAAAAAAAAACTCGGTAAAAACTAAGAACGGATTAAAAACTCATTACGCAAACAAAAAATATTCAAACACTGTAACTGATATGAAAAGGAAACCTAAAAAACACATCCAGGATTTCCAGCAAACACGCCGAGAAGTGGAGCAGATCAAATTACTTGAAAAGAGCTTGACGCACCTGAAAAAAGCTAACGTAATGGAAATTAATAGTGTGATTGCAGGGTGCATAGTTTTTTAGCCTAGCCAAGTGTATTTAATTTAATAGTAGAAAAAGTATTGAAACTTTGTCAACACAATACTTTTGGTTTCAAGCAAAGCCGCTCAAAAAAGGATTATAAGCAAATTAAAGTCCAACTCATTTTATTCAAGCGCAATACTGCTTATTATCGCAAAAAAAACTACTTTTATTTATGTCGGTCTGTATTTTTAAGTTTTTTTTTTTACTGCTGGAATGGAGTGTGCAAAAATTGTAATAACGCAGCGGCAACGGATACAATGAATCCGTTAGCGCAGCTGTTTGCATTGTGTGAAAATTCCCGGATCAGAAGTGACGACAAAGCGTGCGCGGGCTAACAAGTGGAATATATTTGGGAATGCCAAAATGGTAACATTACAGCCGCAGTTAAACTTCGCTCGCCTTGTGGGGGAGGAGGAATGGCTCGACTGGTTGAGAGCTTAATTAGTTGTTTATCATTTACAATGGTATGCACGCACAATTCGAAGCATTATGCTTTACCAATAGAACATTAGAAGCATAAACACATAAATACTGTAAGCTAGAATGTTACTGCCGGAAACATTAAATCATTTTTTAAATACATATGTTTTGATTACACAAACGGGAGATTAATTTCCATTTAGTATCTTCATTGTGTTCAATCTGCGGCCGGTGCGTGCAGTAGCCCTAATAAATATTGCATATAAAAATAGAGAAAGATCAGGGTGGTTAACATGACTATATAGGTATGTCTGTATGTACATACATATGTACTTTATATCGTTCTTAATATCAGTTACACATGTAATGGGAATATCGGTGTAAACAAGCAAGTGTTATAATAAGAGCTTAACTTTTTTATACCAATTTATATTGAATGATTACTGCGGTTTCGGAAACTGAAGTGTAAGCATTTGTTTGTTTGTTTCCTTTACAGTTGCTCGTCGTAGACGGAAGGAGGGTCGTCAACGTCGACAACGCACCACATTTAGCACTGAGCAGACGTTGCGTCTAGAAGTGGAGTTTCATCGTAATGAATACATTTCGAGAAATCGTCGCTTTGAATTGGCGGAAACGTTGCGTTTAACCGAGACACAAATTAAAATTTGGTTCCAAAATCGACGCGCAAAGGACAAACGCATTGAAAAGGCTCAAATTGATCAGCAATATAGGTAAATATGAAGTTATGATAACAATTTTCAGAATTTGTGAGCAAATGAACTGAGTAGTGTCTTTTCAAAACGGTATATCTACAACTTAACTTATTTTTCGCAAAATATTATTATTAAGGACAAGACTGCATACTTAGTTAAAAAAAAGTTTTCGTGCAAACTTTGATCTCCATATATCATATAATCTATGTGCTTGGCAGCCGTTTGCTTATAACGCAAAAAGTTTGTCTGGCAATTTTTATCACGGAAAAAAAATTTTATAACGATTTTGCTTGGAATTTTTTATTTCCAATGGAATCAAGGACAAGGAATCTTTGATAATGTAACAGAAGTGTTTTATGGAGTCTACTTTATTACGAAAACTAGTACTTGAGTGGCACCAAGCATTCAGTGAAGGTCGTGAAGTCATCGAAAACTTGCCTCATGCAAGCAAAAGCGTTTAAAAAACGTCTAATATGACGAGAATCAGAGAAATAGTAAACTAAAATACTTTTACAAAACCCACATCGAGTAGAGGTCGCCAAACAGATGCTTGACAACTTAGCTGAGGACCCTACATTCATCAAACGCTCATTACTGAGCCCCCCACATCCAAAAATGGGCCGACACCGAATATCCAAAATTCGCTGAAGGTACTAAAGATCATCCCATGGAAAATTGCATTGTACTGGCTCCAGAGCCTATTCTAAAGGCGATAAAATATTTGTTTTAAAATACGTAAAATTTCATATAATCAGTCCGGGGCCAAAATTGATCTGATAGTACTAAGATTATGGTAATTATGGAGCAAGTTTATTCTCTTTTGAAGTATATTGAAAATACTAAGTACAACTTTGGCTAAAATTGGTGAAATGTTGCGACGCGTGCTCACAAACCGCAGCTTCACCGTATCACAAATCAATGAAATTCATGACAAAATGGCGTGAATTGGGTTACAAGTGAAGCAAACTTCTACCCAAACACTGTACTGTGTTCTCAGAACTCAAGAGCATGAGCATCGTTGGAAATCGCCGGCCTGTTTCTAAGCCAAACGCAAATAATTCCAAAAACATGATATCGAAAAATTGGAACCACGCTATATTCGGTGTATGTACCTCAATAACGGATTTGCTAAATTATAAAATTGAATTTCTTCAAAAATTTGCTGTCTTTACATCGAAACTTTTCAGCCTATCTGTTAAACTACTTTGTCAAACTCTCTCTCTTTAAATTCTAGTTTAATTGGCTATATAATAACAAATATGGCTATATAATAACAACACTTCATTTATTTTCCATATTTAGAATTATATTACATATTTACATATGTATATCATTACACCTATATCTTTACAAAAAGACTTGTTCTTTTGTCGCAATATATCGTAAATATCGATAATATTCCGCTGTGTATACATTAAACTCCCCTCTCTGTTTTAATCGCTGAAGCATAAAATAAACGGAAGTAAAAACTGTCATCTTTAAAATTATTGTTTACAATAAAATTAACACGAAATTAATTTTACGACATTTACGCGCACAATTACGACTAATTAGCCCTAGGCGGACAATTCAGTTGTCACATGCACACAAATCTGCATACACATAGTTAACGTGCACTCATAAATATACAATACTTATATTCGCATACAAACTTACAAATGTGCTGCTCTGTATTGCTACATTCCATTTCAGAAATTTTGTCGTCGCCAATGGTTTTATGACCACAATCATGGGACACACAGCGAGCTATCCACCGCCCATGCCAATGATAACGAATCTTCATCAGGGCTTTTACCAACAACATGCGCCCAATAACAATGGCATTTTACAACCAACACCAACAACACTAACTGGTCCACCACCACCACCACCTTCCTCGCTGCCACCAACGGCGTCGCAGCAACAAACACGCAATTCGATCGTGCCGCATACGCGTACACTGAATGGCATCAACAACAACAAAAATGTCGCCGCAAGAACACCATCGCTTGATGCCAATTTCTACACACAAACAACAGCACATTCAGTGCTAGATCCACAGAGGCACGCACCACAGCTAGCTGCAAACCAGCTTGAAAGCCTTGGTGGCCATTATGGCGATTTGAGTGAACGGGCATTTTACAAAGGCGTAAGCGGAAGTAATGCTTCTAGTGGCTTAACTACACTCATCGATTCGTGTTAGCCAATTGTAATGGAAGCGAGAAGAAGTCGAGCGCTTATTTGATTTGTATGTGCATTTTATTTGCATTTTTTTATGGTTGAAGGTATGGAGTGAAATGTTCCGATTTTTGTATATATTCGAACATACTAGAAACTTTGAATTAAACCTATAATAATTAGATTAATAAAAAGAATAAAAAATATATAAATATTGCTAATTTTAGTTATTTCCGATATAATGGCAGGCAACGAATGACTTCCATATAATACAATTAGTTACACTAAAGTTTTGTTCCAATCCAAGCCTACCTTGAAGTCAACGAGGCCACTAACCGAAATTAGAGAGAAGATAGAGACGGGACGGTAAATGAATTCGAGTCTTTTTTACTTCTAAGTTTATTACAAGTTTCCATTCAAGCGAATTTTATGCCTTAAAATTGCAAATATGATCAAAATAATTCAGCTTTTTTTAAGCAAACACTAAGGCAAACTTCTTAAAACTTATTAAGAGGCACCACATGACCACACCTAAAATAAGGCGATGTTTGTGAATGAAAAAAAATTGTTGTATCAATTGTTAATTTGTAATTTTTAAGGGTAAAAATATTTTGAACAGAAAAAATATGAAATATTTTTCGAGTTTCATGCGATTTCCGACGGCGCTAAAAATACGTCCTCCACTATAGCAAATTCAAAAAACGCTACTTCGAGAAACTGATTGAACTGAGCGATTACTTTTTAGGAGGCTGTAACTCAAAAAATATTTTACATATCGCTTTAAAATTTTAGTATGGTATTTTTTATAGACTACCGAATTATGCAAAAAATAATAAATTAATTTTTTCAAAATTTCACGCCAGGTGTGTGCCTTAAAGCTCATAATTTTTTAGCGCATGAACAAGCTAAGAAACTTTACCGAGCTAGTAACTCTAAAAAGGCTAAAGTTCTTACGGAATCACTTCTTCTTATGTTTTGTACGTACGTTCATGCGTGGATATGTAACTGAATGTGCTGCTTTCAGAACACGAAAATGAAAATTTAAAAGCATACTTGTACATACATACATATGTACGCATGCAAACGGAATACACAAAAATGCTGAGAAATCTTTTCTTCATATAATTTACAACAACAATACCGATAAATGCATATATATATATATACGTAAGTATAGATTTAAGTGTAAAGAATCATTCAAGGAGAATGCAGCGAAGATTAAGTTCTTCACTATGCATTCAACCGTTGTTTATTGTAGAGTGAGTGTTTTGTATTTGTAATTAAAGTAGATATGGCAATAATTCCGCAACGCACACAATAGGTAAATTTTAGCACCGGCCAGAAATATTTAATCGCAAGAAATAATAATTAAAGATTTCAATAAAAGGTACACCGACGTATGGAAGTATGTAGTTATCTTGAATATATGGTAATTATACCCTGAACAGGTTATATTAAGTTTGCCATGAACTTTTTAACATCCAAATATATATAATTGATCAGCGTGACGAGTTGATTCGATTTAGCCAGACGGCCGTTCTCAATCTCTCTGTATATACGCGAAGTACTCCCTCACATAAGTTTCTTGAGATATCAATCTGAAATTTTGCACGCGTGCTTTTCTCCCCAAGAAGCTGCTCATTCGTTGGAACCGCCAATATCGGACCATTATGGCATATACAATACATAGCTGTCATAGAAACTGATCGATCAAAATCAAATTCTTGTATATATGCTTGTTTTTCTATGTAAATGGTATTACAGCTTTGTTGCAACCAAAATTAACTTTGTTTCTTGTGTTTCTAAGAATTCATCAAGTGTTACTGTTTAACTGTAATTACTGTTTTGAAAAACCAATGCGTTTTTTGTATGGATTAAGTTTAACAAAAAAATCTTGTAATGTAAACACATTGAATGGAACCATTTTAAATGTATTGGCACAATGGTTCGAAATCACCAGAATTGGGCAGATGGGATAACGCCCATAATCGACGCATTTTTCATCCCTAGTTTAACAATAATCTTTACTAATAAATAATAATAAAAACAAATATTAAAATATGCAGTTATAAAGAGTATCGTCAACTAGAAACTAGAAAGAGGTTCAGTCATTATTAAACACCTACATACGTATTCGAACCGGTCCATCAAAAATTGCTATGCGAGTTCATTTTCTGTCTTACTTCGGAAGAAGTATCCGAGTGTGTCCCTTCTGGGTGGAACAGTATATAAACTGTTACAAATGTTACTCCTGTTGGATAAAACTTTACTTCTTTCGTAGGAAAAGATTTCAGACGGAACTACTGTAGTACCCTCAAACTTTCTTATTGTCATTATTTCGTCTTATTTGTTGCATACAAATTATATGTTTAAGCCAGAATTCTAGTAACTTTTTTTATTTTGGAAAAAGTTGTAGCTTATATAAAATCACATGTTCCAACGCCTGAAACTATACAACAATTGCTTGAAGTAAATATTTACATTTACAATACACCAACTATCACTGTGATCATGACATAACCAACTTGCAGTTTTCAGAACAGGGCAAAACTTTTTTTCAAAAGAGTCGATCACTTTATATTCAACTGCATAACATTTGGCATTTATTATAGTTCTGGCACTAAGCTTACCTTAACTTTTTCTGCCAGAGATGTAAATACGCCACTCCACTATTTTTTCTTGCACCAACCAAATTGGTCTTATCAGCATAAACAGCGTTAACAGCTGATGTTAATGTTGGAATGCAGCGTGGTGAATTTAGTACAGTACGTTCTAAAAGGTTCAATCAACCGCTAATTTTAAGATTTTTGAATTTATTTACATATTTTAAAAAAATTTAAATTTTTTTGCCACAAAAATTTTTGAGAAATTTAATAAATGCTTTTCTGTTAGAGATGTAACAAAAATAAATCGAAAATACATAAGAATTCAAGATTGCCATACGTTCATGTGTAAATTGTATAAATTCAAGCGGTACCTTTTTCCTCTTTATTTTATTGTTAATAAAATGCATATCATTGAATTGATATAAAATATTATGGAAACAAAATCGTATTCAGATAATAAAATATTGAATATTCTATTATCAAAATTGTCTAATGATATGGCAGTCTCTTCATTCTATTGCATATTTCTGGCAACTTGTTCGCCATTTTATTTCTTCCTGTATAGATAATTAAAGATTTTCTGAATTCAGTCAAAGTCAATCTTAAATTTTTATTTTATTTCTAAAAAAAATTGTAGTAAAGCAAAAGAATCTTATAAAAATGTCGATAAAAGTTGAGACGCCCGAAGTTGAAACTGTAAGCTTATCGGAGTCGCCAAAGAATATTAAAGCTCATGACGAAGTATGTTCCACCTTTCAGATAAGTAGATATAAGTATTGTTAATATTGAAAATTATTTTTAACTTTTCAGGAAGATATCTGTGAATTGGAACACCTTCGAAAATTATTTATCGGTGGTTTGGCGTCGCATACTACGGAAGAAAACTTAAAACAATTTTATGGAAAATGGGGTATGGTAGTGGATGCAGTTGTAATGCGCGATCCAACAACGAAACGTTCACGAGGTTTTGGATTTATTACATATACTAAAGCCTCTAGCGTAGATGAGGCCCAGAAAAATAGACCACACATAATTGATAGCAAGTAAGTACACGCCTAACTAAACTACTTAAATAATTTCGATTGCATTGTATGACACTAAATACTACGTAATTGTGTTAATTAAAGATATTAGAAGTACTTACTTCAATGTAATTTTTTTTTGCAACCTTTAGAACAGTAGATCCAAAGCGAGCGCTCCCTCGCCCGGAACGTGAGACACGAGAAACAAACATTTCGGTTAAAAAACTTTTTGTTGGCGGTCTTAAGGATAATCATGATGAAAAATGCCTGGAAGAATATTTCTCCAAGTTTGGAAATGTTATATCAGTAAAAATTCTTACGGATAGAACAACCGGAAAGCGGCGCGGATTTGCTTTTATAGAATACGATGACTATGACTCTGTTGATAAGGCAATACGTAAGTATGTATTTTTAAAAACAATGAATGCTAACTGAGAATTGAATTGTTATAGTACAAAAGGCACATACAATTAAATATGTTGTTGTTGATGTTAAGAAGTCTGTATATAAGCAAGACAAACAACAGGGAAACGAGGCAGGCACAGATGATGGAAGTGGAAATAATGGTCAAAAACTAATACCAGGTGGACAAAAACCTCCGAATTTCCGTCCTCCAGTGCCACAACAGCCAATGCCACCATATCAACAAGGACCACCTGCACCATACCCACAAGGAGCACCATACAACTATTGGGGACCTCCACAACATCCGCCACCACCGCAATATGGGCCATATCCGCAACCGCCAGTACCAGCTAATGGCTGGAATACACCCTACAGCTGGAATAGTTGGAATGCCGGACCACCACCGCCACAAGTTGGTGCACCACCAACCAATTGGTATCCCAATCAATGGCAGTCGAATAATGCTGCACCAGGTCCACAACCACCAAATGGTCCTGCACCAGTTGGGGCTTGGAATGCTCCACCAGTAAGTGGACCTCCGCCACCACAATGTCCACCAGCCAACTTTGGCAATGGTTATCAGCAAAATTATGCTGGTGGTCCTACTAAGCATAACCAACCTAACACGAATCGTATGCATCCTTACGGCCCACCACAGAGTTCCAATTATGGTAATAATTTTACATTTTACTTACGTATAATTATTAAAAATCTCTAAACATTTTTAGCCAATGGAAACCAACAACCACCACCCCAAGGTTATAATGGTTATGGCGCAGTTAAACCACCTGCTGCTTCAGTACCGCCAAAAAATGGTCCACCTGTAGGTCCGCCAGTCAACACTGCTGCCCAAATGGCAAATAAGTTTAGGCGTTGAAGAACTTCGAATGACCACTGATTCAATATAAGGTAATTGCGTGTTTGAAAAGTGCACATATGCATATATATATATATATATTCATTCGCTACCAAAACTTGATACTACTAAGCTTTCTTAGATGTAGTTTTAAGATATTTTAGGGTGCGTTGCTAATATTAACACTTTTAATTATAATTTGGAACTGAGAGATGGCCAAATATTTATTTATTCTCCTAAATATTTAAAATATCCGATCTCTACATAAAAAAAAAACACCCCTATTATGATTTCTTAAATTAGAATGACTTTAGTTTAAAGTATATGTATATATGTGCGTCTAATGCTTTTGGCTTCTTGAAAGGCTAAATGAAAATTATAATATTTACATTACAATTTATGTACAAATTTTTTATGTAAAATATTTAACTTCTGATTTAATTCTCTTTAATTTAGGTATAATACAACAAGCTCAATATAGAAGAAATGCTTAATTATAAATCACAGAAGGGCTTACCTGTTTTGTCTATCACACTAATAGGTCATTGCATTAAAAGGACAATTATTTTACGTTTAAGTAATATATATGTGTACTTTAGAAATATACATATCCTTATGCATATAGGCAATATGTTGAAATAATTCTCTAAGTAGTGCTACTTTTATTGTTAGAGTTCTTAATTAATTGCCTTATTATATAGATGTTTTGAAAATCTTGTAATTATATGCCAACAATTTACTCTTTCGGAAGGCATATGTATATATATATATATATATATATATTTGTAAAATTTATGAGTTCAGAAGTTTATGTTGTACTATTTATAATCAAAATATAGAAATTCATTAAGTCTCGTATTTGTCAATTGTTTGGCAAAGTCAATACATACGCTAAATATCAATAATTATATACATATATTAAGACATCAATAATTTCACAAAGTAATAAGTTTAGTCTAAAGAATTGGGATTATCAACTTGGGTTTATGAGAGAATTGAAATAATATTATTGTACTGACGTATATTCTATGTATATTACCGTGGATCAAAGATGACTAAGTGGCTAATGTACAAATGTACCGTTGATAAATTGTTTTTGAAAAACGTTGTATACCATATACATATACTATGTATTTTAATGATGGAATACGTTTATATTCATAGTTATTAATTGGATTACAAATAGCAAAACAATTTTACAAAACACACATTGATTTTGGTGTATTCTACCAAAAATTACACATAATTTTATAATAGTTTATACAATTAGCGTATCACAACAAATTAGTTAAAACTAGCACGAAACTAATTGCTCTATGTATTTGCAAAAAAAAAAAACATAGCATATGTATGTTTTTAGTTATGTATAACAAATAAAGTAAATTTAATATACTACATAATGCAATTCTCATACAATTATTTTATTATATGTATATATAATTCGTGCAGGTAAAGACAACTAAGTACACCGTTATCAAAAATAAGTCATAACTTTTTGCTAAACACTAAGTTACCTATTTAATGTTTAATAATTCTTGTCTTCTGCATGCTATATACCATTTTATCTCATTTTATGAATCGAGAGGCGACTGCACAAGTTTCAGGAACACCTAGTCAAGATACCGACGATGTGCTGTATAACACGCTTGAAATGGAAGCTACACTTTATTAGGTTAGCTTCTGTATGTCCGAAAGCTACTGCGCATAAACTGGGGTAAGTTTTCTCCAGCACACTGTTTCTTTTCAACAATTTATGTTATAAAAATGTACACATGTTTGAAATAATTAAATAAAAGTATTCTAAAAATCGAATATTTTTTTTAATTTTAAATACGTGGAGGGTTATGCTTATACAAAACAAGAAGAAAGGTTAAATGAGCAGCTTCTTGGGCAGAAAAGAACGTGCGCAAATTTTCAGAACGACATCTCAACAATGGGCTACTTCGCGTATATACAGACGGACATGGCTAAGTCGACTCAGCCCATTCATCATTTATATACAAATTGTATTTGTTGCCTTCTAAATGTTACAAGCTTCGTGGCATACTTAACAAACCCTGTTCAGGGTATAAAAAGTGTGAACGAACGGAGTGAGAGAAATGGCTCATCAGTAATGAGTTAAAAACTATTCATTCAGCCATTTATGCTTTGCTGGCATTTTTGATTTTGTAGAACATTTGTGGCCCCCGAATACATACACTGCGGAGAGCAGAAGTTATTAGCTCATAGCAAGTGCAATCTGTGGCAGCATCTCGGTACATAACGGTTGTGTGCACTCACACTTAAAGCCCGAAACGTTTGCAGTGTGGAAATTTCTATTGCTTATTTCCTATAATTCCACAACTGTGCCTGGAATTTGTGTATACGAATAGGCGGAGGTACTTTCGGCTTGGTGGCACACATATGTGTCTGCATGGCTACAGACGCACATATTTATGCACACGTATGGTACAGATTATTTTCATCGTCCGATCAGTAAGTCAGTTGTTTGGTGGTGCTCGAGGCGTTTAGATCGTTTCGTTGAAAGAAACTAACAATTAGAAATCTTAAAAAAATCAGCTCTATATTCCATTGCACTTTTATTGTGTTTCTTCTCGGCAATTTATTTTTAGCAGTCATGTAAGTAAATAAGAGAGTTACATATGTATGTATGTTTTGTGTATACTTATACATAAATAATAGTAACTTGCCATTGTTTTAATTATAACATCCTTTTTGATTATTAGCGCTTTAATTTTTTATTTATTTATTGCGTTTGCATGTGTGTGTTTGTATAAAATGAGATGAGGTAGCAATGTGCAGCTCACTGCGCTTCACGGCAATGCAGATTCTACATTCGCGCGCCTAATTTGCACAACAAGTGTAGAGGAATATCGATATAACGAACCATGAAAACAAACAATCTTTTGAAAAAGTAGCTTGAAAAAATGGTTCAAAGTGAAAGTAAAATAAGAAAAAACGTTAACCTCGGCTGTATCGAAGCTGCAATACCCTTCACAAATACAAAAGATTCCTCAAAAGAACTTTGATCGGTCAGCTTGTATGGCAGCTATTGGCTATAGTGACTCGATCTAAACACAGAGATTCTACAAAAATTCCATCATTGCTTTAGGCAATAACCCATGCCAAATTTCGTGAAGATATCCCTTCAAATTTAAAAGTTTTCCATACTAGCACATTATTGCGATCGTTCAGTTTGTATGCTATAGGGGTCCGATATTGGCCGTTCTAACAAATGAACAAAACTTATGGAGAAAAAGACCGGTGCAAAATTTCAGATCGATATCTCAAAAACTGAGGGACTGGTTCGTATATATGTATACAGACATACCAACGGACGGACATGAGTAGATCGACTCAGCTCGTCATGCTAATCATTTATATACATATACACTGTATAGAGCCTCTGACTTTTCGTTTTGGGTATTACAAAACATTGCGGCTAACTTAAGGTACCCTGTTCAGGGTATAAAATACATATGAACATACATAAATAGTAGCATTTTTGTATTCTATATTCTTCATATATATCGAGGTTTTACTGTGTATACATGTATTTGCATACTCGTATGCATTATTTCCTGCATGTATGCATCAGCTACTTATGTGGTCATCAGCGCATAAATTGTTTTATATACAAGCCGACAACGACAATACATTGCATTGTAATGAAATCATCGTTCAAAAAGGATTGTATTTCACTACAAGAAATTAGTCCAAGAAGACATATTACTGCGTATTTGAAAAACGACGACAAATTATACCGTTAGAAAAAATAAATAAACAAGTAGTTACAAAAACACAAATCAAAAGCACACTCAACTAGCTGATTCAAAAACTTTTAGATCGGGACACCGGGTACCGGTTTTTTCTCTACGGCCCTGTGTGTAGAACTCCAGTTAACAAGTCCATTAAGAGGTTATATACACATGCAAGTCAGAAATACCCGTTTTTGGTGATTTTCTTTAAATAAAAAAAAATTGCATTTACAGAATTTAATGTACTTTAATAATTGCCGAACATTTTTGGATTGCCTTGGAGCCGTAGCCGATCTCCGAAAGTAGGTATCTTGTGGTGACAAAAAATTGCTATTGCTATGTATACAGGTAATGATCGACGAAGTAGTTAAAATTTTGATGTTTAACAAAATGATGGCTTGAAAAAATGTATTCTTCTGAGAAGAATTTTAGAAAAATATTCCCAAATATATACATATATGTATGTAAATTCGATATAAAATGTATAAACAAACAAAAATCGATTTTTCTTCTTTAATTCACAAGCGGATATACACACATAACTCCTTAAACAATTTTTACCTTTTGTCTTAAAGCATTACCGATGGTAATTTAGGCTAAAGGTTAAAAAAAACCTGCATTATATTGATGCATGTACGTAATTCTGCAAAAAAATTTTGTACGTGAAAGCTGTTTAGACTTTTAAAGCAACATCAAACTTATATCGGAAAAAAGACAAACAAAAGCAGCTTATGATTACACTGTTCTACAGTGGTTTGGTTGCCTTAGATATAACATCGACTTTGGATATACATATGTACCATATTTGTGCTCACAATTTATGACACTATCAACGATTTTGTAAGATTTGCCCTCCTTTATTTTAAAATTTCATAAAACATGAAACAAAATAGCAGATAAACATATTTAAAATGTCGGATTTGTTTTAAAAAATAAGGATACATCGAAGTAAACAGAGACAAAATCTTGAAAACATATGTTATGTCTCAATCATATGCCTTTTATGAGCTTTTCCTTTATAATTTTCTAGATAACAATCTTTTTAGAAAGATCTTCAGTAATCTGCTATATCCATTACCTTAATTTCTTAGTGGAACTCCTCTCTCTATTTCTCAGCATAATTATCTAAATTCTTCTAAAATTTATCCAGATGATAGCGTACATTTGGAGTTTAACTTGATACTTATATGTGCTCTAAGAATCTTAAAGTTTGTCAGCATATTATGGACTTTATGGTTACCTAGGAAAATTTCGACTATCAACACTAAAGTTTTCCAAGCTTCACTTTTCGTACCAAACATACATGGCTCTCATGAATTGCCGTATTTGAGATTTCAACTTCTCCATACCAAGATTCCGGAATTTTCTACAAATGTTATTAAAGTAATATCCTTTCACATCCAATGCTTTGTCACACTGATTTATCATTCCTAAATCGATCACATATATAGTCTCTGAGTTTATTTTGAGAAAAATTAACTTTATCATAGATGTTTCACCATAACTCTTCCACTGACCGATTGTACCGATTTCTGGGAATTTGGCGAAATCAATATTTCTGAGCGTATACGCATTACTTTTGTAACGCATTCATTTCATTTTTTTAAACCTTAAAACCTTCCGAAGAATTTTTAACATATTTTAGTTATCTACCAAGAGTGGGTTTGTAAGAGGAAAAAAGGAGCGCAGAACCCTAATCATGACTGGAAAAATAAATTTTATTACTAACAAGCCGATAATTGATCAAAAACAAAAGAACACATTTAATACTTTTTTAAATAAAATAATAATCTGGACACTTGAAATCAACGAAATCTGCTAGCACATCAAGAGTAGGAAAAAAAAGTTGTATTTTTGTAGAGCTGTGTTATTTGTAAGGAATTATCGATGGCTAGATTACCAAAACAACAGTTATTGCTCGATAAATACCGCCAATTCTGGTAGCATAGAACAGCTGTTGTAAAGAGTCTAAAAAGTAAACGTCAAAATAATCGAACATTTTGGACCCTTTTCCCCGTAAAACCTGTGTTGAAACATATTGCTTTCTTAATTGAATGAAAGCAGTAAATATTTTCGAAACATAATTTAATTTTTTGTTTAGTTTAGCCTGAACCTTAACCTTTTAAAGACCTCATTATATTTGCTATGGTTCCTGCTGCCTCAATGAAGCCGATGACGCTACTTTTTACTTCTTCAAAGACCCTGAATGGCAGTAATACTAATACATTTGATTTGTTGAATTGATCACATATTCATTAATATTTTTTGTATGCATGTATATAGGGACCGTTGTATACATATATAAATTTAAAAGTACAAAGCGTTTTCATTACTTTGACATTTATTCATTCTGGAGAGTTTGGGTGTACTTATGTGTGTACATATAACATAAACCTAAATATACATCCGTATAAAATCAAAAGAAATTGGCACGTTCGCACATACATATCACATATCAAGGCCAATAATTCAATATGTTACAGATTTTGTTGTTATAATATTAATACTTTTGCATGCATAGTATATATGGCAGTGTATATAACATATGTGATGTACATTTGTATATTCCATAAATGATAACATATGTTATGTAGTTCATGTGAGCGTCGTAGGCGAATTATATCAATTAAAGCTGCATGAAAACAGAAAAACTGTAAAAAACCGCACATGGACAATTTCATCAAAAGAGCGCCAACAAACGCTCTTTTTATATATTTCACTGCAATATATGTATATACTTGTACATGCATAAGTATAAGCTCATAAAAATACATGTGTATGAAACGCAAACACATTCAATATATACTGTCTGCAGAATCGATCGCTTTCAATTAATTCAGCAAACAAATCTAATAATTTTGGCTGACAAGAGAAAAAGTAAAGGATGAAACAGTTTACCTTGTATAATATACAAATGTACATATATACTCCAGCCGTATATACATATGTATGTACTATATAGTATTTTGAAAGATTTCATACTCAACGCTGAAATCAGTTGATTAAACCGGAAACGCAAGTAGGTTGTATTAAATGCTTACAGTTACATAAGCACTCATATGTATGCGTGTAGGAAAATGTAACCAAGTTGCTAGATGTAGTTCTGGACCATTTGGCATATTTCAATCTATTTACATTTAACAGTTTTCCATGCGAAAAAATGCAAGTAACAGGAATTTTCATTCTTTCCTCAACATTCCTTAGGACTAGCTGAAATACCTTGTCGATATTCAGACTACCCAGATGCCATGCCAACATGAAATGTAGTATTCAGTTTATGAAAGTAATATTCACTGAAATAACTGAAAAATCCGAATATAGTAGGAATAGTAGAACACTCAGAAGATCAAATTCAAACGGCTGTAGGCCGTGTTTCTCCATTTGAGGGTCTAGATAAAGAGAGAAACTCAAGTTTCCGTGAGAATCGTGAAACTTTTTGTTAGCTTAGGTTTTTGAATTTAGCACCTCTGTTGATAGCATGTCTCGGACAAAAATAAATGGTTTAGCGCCGACAAAAGTTTTTAAAGAGTAATCGAGAAGTATTTAAATATTAAAATAACTATAGATGCTTTTAAATGGTCAACAGTTCAGTATATATCTTTATATATAATATAAACTATATACATTCCTTTATTAACTCACTCATGCGCATGTCTTGACATAATTATGAATATGCAGCGCTTTAAAACACAAACGGAAGTTGGTGATAAGTCGAGGTGATAAGTATACATGCATATATAATATAACATACAAGTAGGTTGAAAAGTTGGTTGGTTGGTCTCATTAAGAAATAGCACAACTAGCTCCAATTTTTTTTTAAGGTGGTACATCTTTCGTGAAAACACAAGCTAAGTTACAAGTCATTCGCTCAAATAATTCTTTGTTTACAAGCCATTTGAAGTTGACGATCCATGCGAAGGACGACCAAAAACCGCAACCACACCAAAAATCATTGAGCAAGTTCATAACATTGTTAATGGAGATTCAAGCGTGAAATTGTGAATACCATAACCACCTCAGACGAATGAGTACTTCGTATTTTACATGGAGAATTACATATGAAAAATCGTTTTGGAAAGTTAGTGCCGTGCCGCACACGTTGACAATTCAACAAAAACTGGATCCAAAACAAATTTTATTTTAGCATAATTGTAAGCAGAATAAACCAAATTCTTGCATCATTTTATAACTATGATTGAAATTTGGATCTACCATCATGATCCTAAATTGAAACAAGAACGTTTACAGTGGACTGAAGCTGATTGTTCAGCACCAAAGCAGGTGTAGTCACAACGATGAGCAAATAAGGTTATGGCATCGGTTTTTTGGGATGCAAAAGGAATTTTGTTGATTGATTATCTGCAGAAAGATAAAACAATCAACGAATATTATTTCAAGCAAATATTATGGAAAGCGTTTCTCGTCGAATGAAGAAGCTATTACAGCCATAGACGGGTATTTTGCAGAGCTTCCGGAAAGTCATTATAGAGATGGCATAAAATTATTGGAGGATCATTTTAATAAGTGTATTGAAGTTAAGGCAGATTATATTGCATAAAAAAATATATTTCGAACAGTATTTTTTCATTTCGAGCGCAGAAACTTTTCAACCAACCTGTATATACTATGCGAGTATGTACATATAGCCAAACCTGATCATGATAGCTTTTAAGTAATTAACACCTTAAAGAACTTTACATTTTTGCTTACAAAATTTCTTCACTTACGATTTAAAAGCACTGCTTACTTATCTCAACACTATACTAATCCTTAATTAGAAATACACCATCTTCACTTGAGTATATCTTTGGTTTTAGCTTCGGCTTTCGAGTATGATTTTCCCAGACGAAACTTGGCCAAGGCTACCTTGTAGCGACTCGGCCAAGGTAACTTAAAACAAGAAAAAACTTTACCTTAGGACCCTTCACAGCTGCATTTCTTCTAGCAACTAAATATATGTATAGTTAAATTTAAAAATGTAACCGATCAGCTATATGCTATAGGAGCCCAATTTGTTCCTTACACGGCTTCTTTGATCGATCGATCGATATCGCAAAAACATAGAAATTAATTTGTGTTTATATGGAAGAAACAGACGGTCATAGCTAAGTCCACTCAGCTCGTCACGCTGATCCGATGGCTACTTCTGGGTTTTACAAACTTCATAGCAAACTTAATATACCCAGTTCCTATATAGTTTATTAAAGCCTTAAGACTCCTTGTACTATGCCAAAAATAGAAAGGAAACCGTTGACATGACGACACAATTACTCCCTCTCTTTTATTCAAGGTTCACGCTCGTTTGTTGTTCGATGTTATATCAATTTAATTATTATTTCATTGTTTTTGATAACTCATATCACTAAATGTACCATATATAAAATCGTAAATAAAGCCCATTTAATAAATTGTGTCTAAACTAACTAAATATATAAATAATAGCAGCTCGGAAGACTGATAGCACTAGAAAAGAATTGAAGAAAAAAGTCACAATCGCTGGACGAGGTCATCCCCCAACATACCAACAAATACACAAAGCCTCTGAAATGGCTATGTAGTTGTTGTTGTTTTTTACAAACTCAGCTTATCTGCTCGCTTTACTTCTAGCGCTGTCGCAATTCAAACCCACTCTCACAGTAATTTAGTCGATTTTTTCGAATATACCATACTAAGTTCAGCAGCACAACGAGAAGGTTCACATTCTGTATTTTTTTTCAGTTGTGACGAGACGCAAACTCAGCTTACGCAACAATGAAGTTGCTACTACTGCTTTTGGCAGGCTTGCTCTGCACGGTGCAAGTATTTGCCGATGATTTGGACGAATTCAATTTGGATGATTTGCTTGAGGAAGATTTCGACGAGAGTGCAGAGGAGTTGCTACGCCAATTTGAGCAAAAGAATTCGGTAAATACGAAGACGTACAAAAATATACCACTCAACAGTTAGACGTTTTTGTTTTTAGAACAAGGATTTGGAACGTGAAAATGAGATCGCCGCTCAATTGAGAGCTGAGGCGCTAGATCAACAGAACAACATATTGAATCCGGTTGTCGAAAGTACGTTACTGCTCTGTTTATATTTGCTTTTGATTTATAAGAGTTCGCATTTACAAACTTACTTTTAATTCAGTTGATCCATGTGAGAAGATGCATTGCGGTGCCGGTCGTGTCTGTCAAGTGCATGGCACCGAAGCCAAATGTGTATGCATACCCGAATGTCCCGAGGAGCCGGAAGCACGTCGCCACGTTTGCACAAATCGTAATGAAACCTGGCTCTCGGATTGCGCTGTCTATAGGCAGAGATGTCTTTGTGCCACCAATGCCCCCGGCTGCCTGAATCCCGAAAATAGTCACGTTCACATCGACTACTACGGTCCCTGTCATGAACACAAGAATTGCTCGGAGGAGGACATGAAAGACTTTCCGCGTCGCATGCGCGATTGGCTTTTTAACGTGATGCGTGATTTGGCCGAACGTGACGAACTCACCGAACATTACATGCAAATGGAATTGGAAGCTGAGACGAATATGACACGTCGTTGGGCTAACGCTGCCGTTTGGAAATGGTGTGATTTAGATGGTGACACTGACCGCTCGGTGTCGCGTCACGAGCTCTTCCCCATCCGTGCACCCTTGGTCAGCCTAGAGCAATGTATTGCACCATTCTTAGAGTCATGTGACTCCAATAAAGATCATCGCATCACTTTAATAGAATGGGGCGCTTGCTTGGAATTAGATGAGGTAAATGTCGAAGTGGTGGCCAATACTGTACTGCCATTGCTAATTATATATATTTATTTTATTTCAGACCGATTTGAATGAGCGTTGTGACGACATTCACAGAAACACCCCGCAATTGCTTGGTTAAATTTGGTTGGATCCCTAAAAATTCCAGCAACGTTTTTTGAACTTCTATTTTACGCTGACTTATTGTAAAGTTCACATAAATTACGTGCCTATCACATTTAGTGTATAAAATCTTTCAACTTTATGCTTAAATATCTGCATTATGAGATTTTAGCTTAAAATAATAATAAATTTTTTAAATGTTGTTGCAAGTATATATAGTATATAGTAAACAAGGAAGATTTTTGATTGTCTTAGTCAAGGACAGAAATATATTTCCAAAAGTCAAGTGACCTTAAGGAAGTCGCGCCGAGAGAAGATATTTTTCTATTTCAACCATTTCGTTAAGCGAAACACTCTCCCTAATTTCATTAAGATATCTGATATTAGATGTCGTTTCAATACTCGTATGCTCAGAATGACGTAATATACGAAGAAGATGAGAAGAGATTTTATACATTTCAAATTCATTTGGTTTAGATACGTGGAGTTTGGTCTCAACTTTGGTGCAATCATTTTTGAATATCCGCATTTTTTGGGCGTACAAACATACTGATTTCTTCATTCGAAATGTCAACTTATCGAGTTCCTTCTGATTATTCAAATTATACCCTGAACTGGGTATATAAATTTTGCCACGAAGTTTGTAACACCCAGAAGGAAACGTCGAAGACCCTATAAAATATATACATAAATGATCAGCATGATGAGCTGAGTTGATTTAGCCATGCCCGTCTGTCCGTCCGTCTGTCTGTATATATACGAACTAGACCCTCAGTTTTTAGCTGTCAATCAGAAATTTTGCACCTGTCCTTTCCTCACTAAGAAGCTGCTGTTGTTGTAGTTGTAGAAGCGGCAGAATTTTGCCGTTTCGGTTACATAGACCCGACTGCCGTGGGAACGGACTAAGAAGCTGCTTATTTGAAATGGCCGATATCGGACCACTATAGAATATTGTTGCCATACAAACTGAACCATCGGAATTAAGTACTTGTATTGGAAACTTTTTTATTAAAAATAAATATAATCTTCGAAGAAATTGTTTAGATCGAATGACTATAGCATATAGCTGCCAGATTAACTGAAAAATCGGAATAAAGTGCTTGCATGGAATAAAGTGCGACCAATTTCACACATTTTTGGCGTTAAACTATATTATATCCAATATCCGTAAACATATAATTTCCATAAACGGTATAAATCCAACCGGAAGTTCCAAAATCTTTATATTTAGTTGCATCCGATTTTCACACTATAACATAAGATAAGCAAGATATTTTTAAGCACAAAATTTTATTGAAATCAATCGTGTGGTTCAATATAAAATTTCACGTAAAGAAAAATGTCTTTAAGCTCCTTTCCGCCTGTGGAATTTAATAATTTATTTATTATATTTATTTAATGAGTTATCACACTTTTGTTATTTTTAAACAGAACCGTTATATAGGATGTTGATGGAGTTATCACCCGATTTAACTCAGTTTCACTGTATACTTAGATGGAGGTGCCAAAAAGACTTGTGCTGAGCGAATTTGTATATATATTAAACTTATGAGTAGGCGGGCCTTCGCCCACTTTTTAAAATGTTTTAAACAACAGATGCTCCTCCATACTTCGATACCATGTTACAAATTCCAAAAAAAAAAACTTTAAACCACAGATTTCCTACGTACTTCGATACCCTGTACAAAATTACAGATTTCTATCTTAATGTAACTCAGAGAGTTTCTTTTTCATTATGTATTTAAAAATTTGCTTTAAATATAAAAATTATAAATTAATAATGTTAATGCAAAAATCTTAGATCTTTTACCGTCCCCAATATAGTGACTTTCGACTTTTCACCTGATTTTAAACCGTTAAAAATGTGTGATATTTCAAAGAAATGAAGTCGACAAATTTTCCTAAAAATGGTGTGGTTTATCGCTGAATATGAATGGAATTAGTCTGACCTTGATTCAAATCTCATATTCCGAATATAATCAATTACGATCCTCTGGTTGATTTTGTCCACATCAAATTAACCTCTTCGGTGGAGTTTATGTCACATAAATCTGATTTGAGGATGATTTTAATATATGACCAATAATATAATTTAATAATATATCAAATTTCATTGTAATCCATTCACGATTTCGTTGAGCAATGCATGTAAAGCTCCTTCCCAACGTTTTTAACTCTTGCAACATGTTGCTACAGAGTATAAAAGTTTTATTCAACTAACGGTTGTTTGTATCACCTAAAAATAATCGGGTTAGATATATATATATAATATATATAAATGATCAGAATGATGAGTCGAGCTTTCAATTTCAACCAAATTTGGTACATTCGATTATTTTGATAATTTCCATGTAACAGAGCGAAAATGAACGAAATCGAACAGTAACCACGCCTACTTCCCTTATAACACAACATTTAATTACATCTGCTTTTGCCTATCCAGTACACAAATCAAGCACTAATTAATAAAACGGGATTAAAATTTGCAGGAATATTTCCTTTAAGGTATGCCATATCAGGTAGTAAAGTTGTCAAATTGGACCATAACTATTGTGGTCCACAGAGCCTATGGCAGATTTTTTGCCAAAAATATCGGCCAATCTGTGAGATACATATATAATTCAAATTCGGTTAGAATGTTTTTTTGATAATATTATACCTTATACCCTTGTGTCCGATGGGTTGAATCGAATCAATACTTCCATTAGCCCCCATATACCTAATATAAATATTTTCGAACTTCCAGTTGACTTTATACCACATACATATGTATATCGGACAATGTGCTAGCGTAAAATAATGAAATTGAGCAAGCGTGTTTTTCTGATAAGTGTATCTTTGTGTTGCAAATGGATAAAATCGGGCGAAAACTTGCCTTAGCCCCATATAACTGATATTTAGCATTTTGAAACGTCCGGCTGACTTTACCCCATATATGTTTATATAATATTTACACATAAGTATGTTTATAAAATCGCCTGAAAATAAGTTCTCATCTATACCTGAGCAATGCCAAAAATTTATGCAACCAGCCTTTCCATTTCTATGTAATAATAATGAATCTAAGTGAGTCTATGATCTTCAAAATTAATTAATATGATACCAAATTGGATTGTATTCCATTCATTATTTCATTGACGAACAATGAAGTTGAACCTTTTCGCAACATTTCTCAATATAAAGTTTTGCCATACCTGAAGGTATTTCCCCGTTTTTGATCCTTGCAAGTTACAAAAGCATAAATGTTCGGTTGCACTCGAACTTAGTGCTTTCTTACTTGTTATTATCTTTAAATTTACATATATTTTTTTGTTGTTTATAAAGAAAAAGTATAAATGGTAACGCGGGATTATATATTTACACCTACATGCCGTACAGTATTATATAAAATGGTGAACATTACTAAATGATTTCTTACCAATTTAACTATCATCACTGGCTCAAATATTTTTGATTTTACTAACCAGCTTAACATAAAAGGAAAATATGTGTTAATAATGCTCGCCACTGTAATCAAAAATCCTCAGCTGATTCTAGTTTATAAAAAACAGATTTTATGTTTAGCGGCATTCTATTTTCGATTCTGATTTTCCTCACTCTCTCGACAGTAACAGATCTCCAAAAGTTTATGACAGTTTGGATTTGAACCTATACTAACAAAGTACTAGTAACAACTTGAACATTAACGTCGACAGCTAGATCAACTACAAACATACATATGTATATGTAAATGAACTTCGGGCTAGAAATTAGAAAGTTATTGAGGTATGCACTGCAACGTATTATTTATTGTGAGCTCTCCTCCTTCACAAGGACTCACATAGGCACAGTACGTTTTAAATCCAAAAGTCGTGTTACAGATAGTGAGGCACTTCGCTGCATGCTACGATGAGGCTCACAGAGCTTTGTTTATGCCAAACAGGTGCTCGGGACTTTCAGTTTCCATGTCACAGAATCGACAGATTGCAGAGAAGACTATACTAATATTATATAGGTATTTCTTAATTCTGCAGTAACCGGTATACATTGAGACAAGCCTGAAATTTTCTCTGGGGAAGTCTATTATTTACTTGAACCCTCTGAGGTTGTATCCTACAGGAAAGCTAAACTTGACATTATCGAAGTGTTTGCAAGTAATGATTGTATGATACCCAGTGCAGTTGCTCGTTTATCGCTGCAGAGTTGGTAAGGTCATCAGCCATTCCGATTATATCTTTCTGATCCGGCACCCAGCTGAGGTGGACTCGATTATATTCCAGTTGAGAAGCTATGCCAATTTTTAATTTCTATAAAACCAGTTCCCGCCGTACAATTTTAATACTTACCTTGAAAATTGTCAATTTCAATTGATTCTGCATGCCATAAAATCCGTTTTCTGGTTTTGTTATTGATTAAACTAGTATGTATTTGGTCTTCTCTAAATTTCGACAATTTTACATTTTATTTATTTTATGCTTTCATCAATTTCTTATTTTGCGTGTAAAATATTTGTTTAAAGTTAGGCTTTCCGTTTAAGAAAAATTATATGATAATTAATATTACTTGTATAACAATACGAAAATTATCATAAGTTGTTAAAAAGAAATTTTATTATTAAAATAAGAATTAATACCCTTGGGAAAGAATGACAGTATTTTTTCTCTGTGGGTCCTGAACATTGTCCTCCTAAGAAAGAAATTTTATTTAATTAACATACAAGCTCAATATTAAGCTGATTTATCCGAACTTACTTTTTTGCCAATCAATGATTTATGAATATGTGGAATTACACCACCACCTGCAATTGTTGCTTTAATCAGACTATCTAATTCTTCGTCACCACGAATTGCCAACTGCAAGTGACGCGGCGTGATACGTTTGACTTTAAGATCCTTTGAAGCATTTCCTGCCAATTCCAGCACCTAAAACATAGTTAACAATTTAGAAAAAAGCTTTGAATTCGAGGCATGCTATAAAAAAAATTTGGGATCAACCAATATTGAAAACTTTTGTCAAACCTACGAAAGAAGCGTGAACTATTTTTTTTAAATTAATACATAAATCTATCAAAATACACAAATATATTCAATTAACTTTCGTTCTATTTTAGTCGTTCAATAATATTTACTAAAAAAGCAAACAAAAAACAAAAATGGCGGGCAAATGACGCCACAAAACAAAACTCTAAAAACGCTACTTCAAGTTGACATTACAAACAGCGCGCGGAGTACAGCACACACAAATACATACACAATTGAAAATGTTGCTTTTCCTACGCGCACGCAAACTATGCTGAATGGGCACATTTAAGCAGCGATATAGGAAAATTGGGCGCGATAACGCATCGATTTCTATGGGTGAATTTTCCAACGTAAAATATGTAACTTACCTCAGCAGTCAAGTATTCCAGAATTGCAGCAGAATATACGGCAGCCGTTGCACCAACGCGGCCATGCGATGTTGTGCGGCTCTTTAAATGACGATGTATGCGACCAACTGGGAACTGTAATAGAAAATAGATATAAGCATATATTTTTACTCAACAATAAACACAAAAAAACGCGTAGTTAACAATTTAATTATAGTCTGTAGATGCTACCTCGAAAAGGCGCGAAAATTTTGATTGGCGGAACAATGTCTGTACTTTATTTATCATTTACCTGTAGCCCCGCTCGTGCTGATCGAGAAACTGCCTTCGCCTTAGCTTTGCCTGAATCTTTACCAGCTTTACCACCAGCCTTAAATAAAATATATAAAAATGGGTAATAATTTTACGTTTTTAAAAATGAAAATTGCGCCAAAATCGCAGGAAAACGCTGGCCAATGTGAGGTTAAACACGAACATTTAAATAGAGAATTCGAATGCATCCAAGATCTTTAATTTACTTTATCTATGAAATTTGTTTGCAACACAAAATTACAAAATTTTATATTTTAGATTTTACTTTTCATCTCAATATTTCACGATGTCCCACGGTACATTACTGCACGCGCACTCACATTTACGACGTCTATTGGCCAACGCCAGCTTTTCATCGCATTCTATTCGTTGTATTTTTTCTATTCACATTATTTACCATTTTTTATATTCTAAATTTTTTCACAAGTAAAACGAAAATGCAAAATAATTTCTATAACACCCTTGGAATGGATTTAACACTCGATCTGTAATTTTTCATAAAATTTCCTCGCACGACAACTTATTGCTTTCGACACAGGAACGTCAAGTCCGAACACCACCAAGTTTTTTTCACGAATGACGCGTTCGCACAAAGCAAACCTCTTCGTGGCGCAAAACGAACACCTTCAACAACATGGTTGCATTTCTCAACAAATATTTGCAAATTATGAAAAATGAAGACCTTGCGATTGTGTTTACAATATGCATAGGCTTTCATGAAGTTAAGAGCACAGACAAAATTTATAACGTGGATCTGATTAATGTGGTTTTGATATTCAAGTTATAGAATTCGTTAAAAATAATATATAAGGCTACTTGGATATATTTGTGAAAATGTTTATATAAGCTTAACTGAAATTACAGTGATTGTGTAATTAAATTATAACCACATATAATATTCCACAATAAATATTAGATATTATATAAAATGGGCTATAAAAACAATTTTTTGGAAACTTTTCACACACTTTCTTTGTAACCCAATTTGTTTTGTGTAATATTACTTAAAATTAATAACATGGCATCACCTTTTGAGATGACGAAAACAACTCACAAAATAACAAGAACAAGAAGAAAATAGAATTCAATGAAATTCAACGGTTTGGTACAAAGTAGGCAAACAGTGCAAGAACACATTCTTTATCTCCGACACATTCGTTGAAAAAATTGGCGCCTTTAGTTCGGCATTTTGAAACAACACAAGAACATTTGGATTTTTGGTTTCAAAAAAGATGCCCCGAGCAACTAAACCAAAAGCTGCAGCAGATGGTGTTCCCAAAAAGGGACCTGCTCCTAAGCGAAATAAATTATATGCGATGCCAGAAAAGATAGCTGAAGGCACAATTCTCTCAGATTTATCCAAAGCTCAGTGGTTAATTGGATCTTCAATTGGAACTGGTGGGTTTGGAGAAATTTATTCGGCGTGTCGCGTTGGTGAGAAAACTTATAACTACGTTGTAAAGTGCGTAAGTATTTAATTGAATTATGATTAATGGCAAACTATTAATATAAGATCCGTCGGTTTTTAGGAGCCACATGGGAATGGTCCACTGTTTGTTGAAATGCACTTTTATATGCGCAACGCCAAATTGGAAGATATTAAACGATTTCAGCAGGAGCGTGGCCTTAAGACCATTGGTATGCCATATATGATTGGGAATGGTTCAGTAGAATTAAATGGAACCAAACATCGTTTTATTGTAATGCCACGATATGGCAGCGATATTTCAAAACTCTTCTTAGCGAATGGTAGACGTTTTCCTGAAGAGACCATATACAGACTGGCGTTACAAATGTTGGATGTGTATGAGTTTATACATTCATGTGGTTACGTACATGCCGACTTAAAAGCTGCCAATATACTTTTAGGCTACGGCAAAGAAGGCAATAGTCAAGCGTACTTAGTTGACTATGGATTAGCTTCACATTATACGACGAAGGAATTTAAACCTGATCCAAAAAAAATGCATAACGGTACTATAGAATATACATCTCGGGACGCACATCTTGGTGTAGCTACAATGCGTGCAGACTTCGAAATATTAGGGTATAATATCATAGAATGGTCCGGCGTTCAACTGCCATGGGTAAAGAACAACATACTAACAGTGCCAGTGAAAGTGCAAAAGGCCAAAGAAGAATTCATGGCAGACGTAATGCATTGTTTAAAAACTTTATATTCTAAAGATGTGCCAGGTGAGTACAATATATCATAAAAAGTGCATTTAAAAATAATATTTTGACATATATTTCCAGGTCCTATTGCGGAGTATATGAAGTATGTAGCAAAGCTGGAGTATAATGAAAAACCTGACTATGAAAAATGTCGTAAAATATTCAGCACAGCTCTAAAAACAATGAAAATATTAAATACTGGAGATCTACGTTTTAAGATAAGTGATAATTATGACAAGTCTGCACCTTCAACAAGCAAAGGTCGTGGAAAATTGGTGAGAAAGCCAGCTGCGGTCATGGACACATCTGTGGAAATGTTTGCCAGTGATGACGATGATGATGATGTAATATTCGAGGAAAAGAAACCGGTTAAAAAAGCACCACATAAACTGAAAACTGTGACAAATCGTTCGCCGAAAAATGTTGACAGTGCTTCAAGGCGCATAAAATCGTCTCCTCGCAATACTACACCAACTCTACGCGGTTCGCCTGAAATGAAAACTTTAACAAAGTTGACGCCAAAAGTAACTCCTGCTCGGAAGCGTCGGTCGTCGTCTTTCTCGCCAAGGCAGGCAACACGGCATTCACCGTTGCAAAAGAAATTGCGAACCACACCTCGTGAAGCTGCCAATGGTAAAAGTTCGAGCACGCCCAGTACTTCCTCTTCGCATACTACACGTTCCACTCCTGTTGCTACCAGAGCAAATATAAATTTTAGTCCAGCGATTTCGTTATCCACTTCACGACATGGGAAGACTGTTGTTAATGACAACACAACTCCAGTACCACGTACTGGTAAAACTTATGAATTTAATTTCGAATTAGATGTCAGTATGGATGCCAATGTTATAGTTAATGTCAAACGTAAAAAGAAGGCAGCAGCGACCAGTACCACCAACAGTAATAGTGCCGCTAAAAGCAGTTCTAAATTAATGCGCTCAAATGAGGAAGCACCTGGGGATAAAAGAAATACACCAGTTACTCGTGTAAAAGTGCGGAAACTGCCCAGTGATGATGCGTGCGACAGTCCCCCTACCCCAGCTGTTACTGTTAAAAAATCTAAGCGTGCGATTTCTTAAAAACTCGTGTTGCTGTTTTGAATGTTTTATTTGTATTACTAGAAGAACAATACATTTTTTTTTTATTAATTATATGTACATGTATGTAATTGTTTCTTATATATTTCGTATTTGTTAAAAATCCATAAAAATTGTTCCCTTTATCGAATAAGATACGCTTTGACGTCTCTCCTGGCAAGGAATACAATACAAAAAATTCGTTGATCTGTACGCTGAATAAATTTTTGTAAGAAAATACTGGCTATATGCTTTATTTATTCAGTAAACTATTTTATTTTTTTATTTTAATGCCTCCTGCTCAAAAATGTAATTTCACTTAATAAAAGTTTTTACAAAAAAAAACTATTTACTTATGCTGTTATTTGAAATTATATGAAACCGGACTATAATTACATTTTAAAAAGTTTACTTTGCTTTACGCTTATTACTGTCATGGTGTTTTGAGGACGACTTCGACGACGATGATTTACTGGACGAAGAAGAGTGCGACGATGATTTTTTTGACGAATGCGAAGAACTCTTCTCACTTGCACTGACGACATTGAAAGTCGCATTGACGGCACTGCTTGATGTTACCGATTTCGAACTACTAGATGAAGGACGCTCCTCTTTATGAGACCTGGAGCTTTTATGATGATGATGCCTACTCGTAGACATTGTCGGCACTTGTACAGATGGAACAGCTGAAGTGGATGTACTAGGTGCTTCTGGTTGTATGATTGCAAAAGGAGAGGACGAATTTGAAGTCGATGAAGAACGCGAAGATGTAGCTGATGACTTTGTCTTTGATATTAAGGAAATTGGTTCTTCTATTACAACGCCAGCCGCCTTACTAGTGGAAGGTTTATTAAGACAATTATCACATTGCCAGTTGTGCTCTTGCCCTTCAGAGGCTTCTTCATCTGTAATAGGTGGCTTGTGGCATTCTTGGTGGTAAAGTGTACCACAATTTGAACATTCGATTAGGCGATTTGTAGCAGTAAAAACCATTTCACCACAAACAGCACAATTTAAATCGCCAAACTCCTTTAGATTAACATCTTCATCGCCGCCTCCCAGCATTGCTCCTCCGATGTTCGCGCCATCATCAGAGTCTATTATAGTGTCAGGTGAATCTGATATGGTCTTTGCAGGAGAGCCAGTTAAATTAATAACTTCATCAGCAGTTGGGTCCTGATCCATTGCCGTTGGATGTTCCGGAGGAGGCGGCGGTGTTGCTGCACGACCTGGAAAGTTCGCTTCCAATTCCATTAGACCTTTACTCATATTATTCGATATCATAAGCTCTGGGCCAAAACGTTGCTTTATAGCTTCATCCAGCATTAACCTCAGCTCAACCGCAGAATTTGGATGAGGAGAGTGTAGCAATCTTATTGCTTTGCGCAACATTTCCATCTCATTCGGATTTGCAGTCATATCTACGTAAATTATACGCACTTTAAAAAATTAATATAAATAAATTTAACTTCAGTATGAACACGAATAAATGCAAAACCTCAAACCACAGCTGTTTCGGCTTACGATACAGGGTTGCAGTGTTCACAAAGTCCGTTCACTTAGTATAGACGAAATGAATTTTAAATAATATGTTAAAAGTTGCATAAATTTTATTAGCATATATGCAAGTATGTTATATATACAGTAAGTACATACGTTCGTTTATAGCGGTTCCATATCTATATATGAACGTGCATAAGTATTGCACTTACTTACATTTGCATTACTTTATTTGGCCAAAAAGTGCAGTAGCCGGCAAATCGTACTGGTTTTGCCATCTCTATGCCATTGCATTCTTCAATAATTCCAATTGGATTTGTTTGTTATGCTGAAGCAGCTGATTGTTAAGAGTAAAAATAAAATTAGATTTATTATAATTACTGGCATCGAATAAAGTGTTAATCATCAGGTGTACAATTTATTAGTGCTTATCGTATATTTCGATTATCTCTGATAAGAAAAATATATATTCATAACATTGAAATGTTCTAAGGCGTTACACAAAGCATATTGTTGAAAGACATTGATAGATTGAATTGACAATAAATTCGTAAGCGTGTACATCTCGCCTATGCGGCGCCAGTAAGTTTTCAACCGGAGAATCGATAAACAGAAAGTGTCATTTGAAGTTATTAAAGTCCATAAATACTTATGACGTTGGTGCAAATTCTAAAGTGAATTTCATAATCTTAGAAGAAGCAGTTTCATATATCATAAACAAAACCGCAATGAATAAGCAGGTGATAACATTTTGCGTATCGGTCTTTATAGTGTTAGACAGTGGTTATGCTGAAACTAAGGACCCTCTGGTAAGTTTAGATTATATTGTTTGAACATTTTATTATCGTAAAATATATAATGTTTTTGTTCATGTTTACTATTTTGCTCATTTTCTTATCGTTTTGCAAATTTATTTTCTGGTCAATTCGTTATTTATCTCTTTGCTTTCTAAAATGATGCCACCTGTGTTTTAACTACTGTAGTTACCATAATTTGAATTCATAGTTGCTATAAATCCTATACCATTTATTAGGTACTCATATTCACTTATATTGCGAATCGGCTGATGCATACCATCCAAGCCAACTATCGGTTAAGTCACCGGTTAATTACCCAACATTACTACGAGAGTTTTCTGTTGTAGTTTCTATGAGTTTATTAAGGCTCAATTGACAATTCTAACCGAAACTATTGCGTACGTGACGATCCTTCATCCTTTTTTTTCTACAAAAAGGCCTTATGAGATGCGCGATAATTCTTTCAATGTATTGGAGTTTCAGTAGCCGTGACTAGCTGGGTTTATAATTTTTCTTAATTGTTGTTTGTGTAAATTTACATTCAACTTTTTGGTTAAGGTTCCCAAATTTTGACCTATCCATGATATCAATAGGTGTCCTTTTACATTGAGCATTTTTGAAATTAATTGTATCGCCTTCCTTATTCTGTTTACTTATGTTTTTTGAATACTTAAATATGGCTTATGAAAATGTAAAAAAAAATTTGAGTATAAGAAAATCTAAAAAAATTAATATAAAATGAGGTTTTATATATTCAAAGTACAAGCCTGATGTTCCGACGATTACGTTCGGATTTATATACAGCCAAAAAGTTTCTCAACAATAATAAAAACATGGATATTATTTCAGAATACGACATTCTTTCCTTCATTGATATTCTGCGCAATATCCTTGGACGAAAAAGGAATTAAACTTGGGTGTTATTTTCAACAGCTGTTAAGAATTTTTAATCCAACTTATTATAATTCGTGTGATAGCGAGATCGGTTAAGAAGTGAAACTTCTCTTCTGCTTAAACATCACGAGGTTCTACATATTCCAATAATTTAGTGATTTCTACAGATCACACATGAAGTATTTCAGTTTCTGTAATTATTTAAGGTGACATTATTACCATTAATATTTTATATTTAGTCAACGACTAAAATTGAATTTAAAATGAACAAAGTCTATGAAAGTAACTTATTTTTAAAGCTAAATATGTGAATAATACAGGGATCATAACTAAGTTAGCAATATATTTTTTCAACCATATATTCTTAGAAAATAGTTCACATTATCGTACTTAAGAATCTAATTTTTAGTAATGAAATTATGCAAAATCTTTCTGCATTCTATATTATAGATTATATGTGTCAGTAGCTTTGGCTTCATAAGTGCTAAATATAAACTTAATTTCGACATACAACTTTGTTTGAATGTTACAAGATAGCAGTTGTGAATACGGCTATCTGGTAAAGAAATAAAAAAACAACGAAACTTTAAAAATTTGTTAGAGTGGCAACGGTGGGCAGCTACAATATAGCAACAAAAACTGTATTGATTCAAAGCAATCAGTTTCCTCCCTCTTTCACCATTCTATTTTCCGATTGTAAATTCGCTCTATTCCATGTTTATCGGCGTTCTTTGTGACGTTTCTTCATGTTTTGATTCAAAATGGCGTTGTCTTGCTGAAAATATGTTAACCTAATTAACACAAATATGGCATCTTTAGCGGTTTTCGGTATTTTCCATTGCACATAAAGACAACAATGCGAAAATTTAATAGTCATCGTCTTTTTTGCTAACTGTAATTCTTTATAACTGCGCTTTTCCAAAGGATTGGTGATTTGTTGCAGCTAAATCTGGCAACATTGTTTGTCTGCATGCGTTTTACATTTTTGACAAGACAATTTGCATTTCTTTATTATCTGCTTGGATAGTATTAGTTTTTGTTCTCTGAAGGCTTTGGTGAAAATCTGGAATCAAGTAATATTTTATAACAGTTACCATTTACCGTTGTCGGAAAAAAGAGTTTTACATTAAATTGGAAGAAAAATGATTACAGAAAATACGACGAATATGCATGCAAGTTTGGGGTCAAAGAGTGCGATGAAAGCGCTTCAAATGGTCAAGAATCCGCAAGATGACATGGGATGGAAATCAAAGCTTAAGATTCCGCCAAAAGACAACCGGTTTAAGACGAGTGATGTTACCGATACTCGTGGAAATGAATTTGAAGAATTTTGTTTGAAAAGAGAACTCTTAATGGGTATTTTTGAAAAGGGCTGGGAACGTCCATCACCAATTCAGGAGGCCGCAATACCAATAGCTTTAAGCGGTAAAGATGTATTAGCTAGAGCAAAGAACGGCACTGGTAAAACCGGAGCGTATTGCATTCCCGTTTTAGAGCAGATAGATCCAAGAAAAGATTATATACAAGCCCTGGTGATAGTGCCAACACGAGAGCTAGCTTTGCAAACATCGCAAATATGCATTGAACTCGCAAAACATCTAGACATTCGAGTTATGGTAACAACGGGAGGTACGATTCTTAAAGATGATATACTTCGCATATACCAAAAAGTACAGTTAATAATTGCCACTCCTGGACGTATTTTGGATTTAATGGACAAAAAAGTTGCGGATATGTCACATTGCAAAATTTTAGTTTTAGATGAAGCCGATAAATTGTTGTCTCTTGATTTCCAAGGCATGCTGGATCATGTAATTATGAAGTTGCCGAAAGACCCTCAAATTCTATTGTTCTCGGCAACATTTCCGTTAAGTGTAAAAAATTTCATGGAGAAACATTTGAGGGAACCATATGAAATCAATTTGATGGAGGAGCTGACTTTAAAAGGCGTAACACAGTATTACGCATTCGTTCAAGAACGCCAAAAAGTTCATTGCTTAAATACGCTTTTTTCTAAGCTACAAATAAATCAATCTATTATATTTTGTAATTCCACCCAACGTGTTGAATTGCTGGCGAAGAAAATAACGGAACTTGGTTATTGTTGTTATTATATACATGCTAAAATGGCCCAGGCACATAGAAATCGTGTGTTTCACGATTTTCGACAAGGCTTGTGCAGAAATCTCGTATGCTCGGATCTTTTTACTAGAGGTATCGACGTGCAAGCCGTAAATGTTGTTATAAATTTTGATTTCCCGAGAATGGCAGAAACCTATTTGCATCGAATTGGCCGTTCTGGACGTTTTGGTCACCTTGGTATTGCAATTAATTTAATAACCTATGAAGATAGATTCGATCTGCACCGAATTGAAAAGGAACTTGGAACCGAAATTAAGCCTATCCCCAAAGTAATCGATCCAGCATTGTATGTTGCCAACGCAGCAGCTACGTCTACGGAAACCAATAATGATCTTAATAATTCAGCAAACGAGGAGGGTAATATCAGCAAATGAACGAATATGAGGAACTATTATTTTAAAACTCAACAAAACTAAATACTGAAATACAAAACAATTATAGAGTTTGTCAAATAAATGAAATGAAATGTAATGAAGTTTGGCAAAAAACTGTTTTTTTAAATAAAGAACGTTAGTTCTGCGCAAAAAAACGAAACAAAAATAATTGTATTTGATTTTCCTTAATGGAAATGGAAGTGGGTTATAAGCAAATTAAAAAAAAATAATATTGTTAAGGTAGGATTTTATATGAAACAATAGGCTAGTTAATTGGTCGACTTATAGCATAATGAATTTTCTAAAAGTAAGTACTTCAAATAAAAAAGCATGGTTATCTTTTAGCTGGAAATTGGTGAAAATGGTTTAACCAATATACATTTTATAATAAATGGAAGACAAATTATAATGCCAAATATGCCGTTTCAGATCTTTTCCAGTAATGACTGCGAGCTGACAGAGCCAATTTATGGGGAGAAATTCAATTTCAAAGCCTTGCATTCCGATATTGCAAAGGTTGTGAAAGGCGGCAAGGACGACACGTTCGAGTACAATATATGTGGCAGCTTAAGCCGTGCATGTAATGGTGTAAACAATGCGTCTGCTTGTCTTAGGAGAGGCAATCAGGAGTATGTGCTCGGCAAGTAGCTTCATTTTATAAAAGAAAGTCGATTTACAATTTTTATATACTTTGTTTAGGCACTCAACACCAATTGAATTATCGGCGTGGCAAAATGTACTTCGAATTCAGTAATGGAGCCAAGTGTCCCAGCGGCGATGGCGAATTTAAATTATTTGTCTTCCTTAGCTGTGACTACACATTGGATGCCGAACAATCGAAAGTGACATCATATGTGAGCTGACATGCAAATACATATACATATGTCATTGTCTTTAAATGTTTTTATTATTAATATTTTTTTTTTTTTTTTAACAATTTTTGCTATTTTTTGTAGTCTGCCGATGCGTGTAAATTCTATATATCATTAGAGACACCATATGCCTGTTTGCCTGAACCCGAAACGGTTAAATCGAATGGTTGCAGTGTGCAGGACTCCGTTACTGGACACAATTATGATTTGCTGTCGTTGAGCGACTTTAACTATGGGTTACCATTGAAGTGCATATTTTTGAAAATTACCTCTCTAAAATAATTTCTATTACAGAACAAGTGATCGACATGGCAATGTATTTATGGTGAACATTTGCAAACCGGTGCTGTATGGAGAGAATGCAATGTGCCCCAAAGGGAGTAGTGTTTGTTTAGTAAAATTAAATTCAACCGACTACAAACAACGGTTGGTAATCATTTCTTAAATTAATTTAGTTTCTAATTTAAAACAAAATGTCAGTTTTATGTAAAAATGACATGGATAATATAAAAAGTTTACATAGGTTGGTAATGTTACTGGCTCTGGGTAGAGAGCCGGTGCAAAAAATTTTCAATTTATTAAGAAAATGTTTTACTGAGAGAGCTTCAGTAACTCTATCCTTTTTAAGTTTTGAAATTCTCGGGACAGAAAAATATTGTAGATAGTAAGATTAGGAAATTTAATAAAATATATAAGTGTGTAATTGGATTTGGAATTCAGGAATTATATTCCGTTACTTTTTTGTTTTGTCTATTATTAAAGTCAAGGTAAATTAATTTTTGACTTGTCTTTTAAAATTATATTTGTAACCAGGATATAAAAAGTATTTTTTTTAAGTTATACTTATGACGCAATAATTCAAAGAGAGTAAAAGTCTGATCAGAATAGCTTTTTGTGTATTTAGCTGCAGGAAACAAATAGTGCCCTAAATAATTTTGGGAAAATCTGCCGAGTTGACGTTTCTTCGTCGTTTATAAAACCGGGTTCGTACTGTTATCATAGACTTTCGTCCATAGTCGCAAAATTTAAATTATATTTTGAACTGAGGCATGAATTGACTTTAATAAAACAAGAAATAAACCTTAACTTCGGCTGCACCGAAGCATTTCTTATAGAATAAAAAGGTATTAAAAGATTTTGATTTTGATTTTATTTGATATATGCTATATAGGTCCGATTTCGGCGGTATAGACAAATCAGCAGATTTTTTTTGAGAAAAGAATGTGTGCAAAATTTCAGATTCATATCTCAAAAACCGAGGGACTTGTTCGCATATATACAGACAAATAGACAGACGGACATGGCTAAATCGACTAAGCTCATCATGCTCATCATGCTCATCATTTATATATACATATAAGGTCCATTTCCTTCATGATGTTACAAACTTCGTGACAAACTTAATATATACTGTTCAAGGCATAAAAGTGCATTCGCATTGGGAGTAACAAATTTCGAACATAAGAAAATACATATGTACTTGTATTTATATAAAATGTTTATATATATTTTATACTTTTTATATTTTTCTCTACTTGGTTTTAGGTTTTTTGACTATGGGACCGTGCAACCTAATCCTATATTAGAAAATGGCTATTTGCTTATGCGCCTTCCATCTCCGACACCTTATAATGAGACGCATAATCACTCCTCAACTATACATTTTATATGTGATAATGAGATAAAGGTAAGGCGCTAACTGAATAATACATAATAACTCACCGGTTTCTACACATATTTTATATGAATTGCTGTATTATTGCTTCTTTCGTTTACAGAGTTCTCAATTGTCATTTATTGGTGCCAAAGAGAACGTGTATGAATTTTCGTTTACCACTCCTTTGGCATGTAATAACAATCCACCATGCACTACGATAACCCATGGAAATGAAGTGTAAGTTACTCTAGATTTTATATAATTTTTCTGGGTACTCTTCTAGTTATGATTGCGGTTTTATTCTGAATTTCGGTTTACTTAAAATGTTTGCTTAATTTTATTAATGTAAAACTTTTTATGGTTTCGGAAGTAATCGTATTGTAATACAGTACTGAACTGAAGTGGAATTAATTTATAGAGATTTTGAAAATTTTACCCATCTGAAATGACGATCAATCCTCTATATGTTCGTACATAGAAATACAATAACTATACTTCATTAATTTAAGATTTCAATTAATCTCTTTTCATGATTCTGAACGTTGTGGTTTAAACGCATAGTTTGGATATGCGACCGCTGCAGGGTACAACATACGAGTTGTCGATGCCTTCAAAAAATTATACGTTCGGCATCTGTACGAATGCGGGTCATTCGTGCTTGTCAAATGATGGTGAGTATATGGATGTTTGTTTTTACACATAAATGTACACATCTATATACAGAAGTGTGAAACTTTTGGATACTTGGTTATTATAATTTCTTTTTATAACTTCTAAATTTAAGAATATGTTTCTGCTGTTTGAAAGGCTTGCGCTGAAATAACAAACTGCTGAAACCACAAAGTGGTTATGTGTCAATTTTATCTGCTACACACACCATACATACATATACCGACAAAAATAATCCATAAAGACATATTTACATAACAACATACATACCACATATTTAAAAAGGTGTATTCGTCCCCCTCTTTAATTTTGTTATACCCAATTGTTAGGTGGTAAATTCAAACTACCCCTGTATAGAAAATTTGCGCCTCTTGCTTTTTTTTTTATCTGTGTACACGCAAAACTATCTATAATAAGAAAAGTTATCGTGCTAAAAAATTTTTGTTAAAGGTAATTTTGCTAAAAGCGCATAATTGTTCATGCATTCGTACATCCCTTGCAGTGAAATAAACTAGTTATAAACCAACGCACAAACAACTAGTCCGATTATTTTTCACATACAAGAAACAGGTGTATTTTATGTATCGAAATCTTAATCAGATTTTGGTAAGATAGTAAGATAATATATCAGCTTCGCTCTAGTTGAAAATAAAAATAAAAACCAAGAAAAAACGTTAACTTCACTTGTATGGCAGCTGTGTATATGCTGTAGTGCAAATTGTATATCGATATCTCAAAAACTGAGGACTATCCTTTATCGAGTATTCGATGTTTCTTTTCGGGTGTTACAAACTTCGTGGCAGACCTTATATATCCTGTTCAGGTTATAAAAATGGTTATATTAGCGACCAATTACAAAACAAGTTTTACTTAAAAGTATATATTTGATATATGTATATATATTTCGAACGATTGAACCGTTATATTTTTTTACAGACTACTTCGCATTTAGTTCGTTATTCAATTAGTTTTATTTCGTATTAGTTTGATGTTACGCTATTTTTGCATACACATATATGTATGTGTTCGTTCGTATGTGTAATGGTATTTTGTACGTAAATACATTCAATTCTAGATACCACTCTTGATTGGGCATGTTGATAAGCCACCACAATCACCTTCTGTCCACTTTCCGGTCATCAATATCTCTTCGATGACCACTTCAATTCACTGAAGTAGAAAAATGAGCTTATATATAATCCCACTTTAAAATATGCAAGTATTCGGGCAGTTGCCAAAAACTGTTAGAAATATGTGCCCAAACATTAGATACTTGTAGTATATACAGCTGTGTTCATAAAAATAGCAGTACTCATGAGCTGCAACTTTAAACTTAATTTTATATATCAAAAAGTAAATGAATGTTCACAAATTTAATTTTGTTTTAACTTTGTGATTATTTTAAACAAAAACAAATCAATTTATTATTCAAAATGTTGTTAATTTTTTTTACATTATTAATTTAAACAAAAAAGTGCTGTTTACAGCTGTTCATAAAAATAGCAGTGAGTAATGAAAACAGTGCAATTAGTTGAAAAAAACATTGTTGAACTCCAAAAAACTATTTTAATTTGTTTGCTTCGGTTAGTACTTAGTCGTGTACCCATTATTTTTTATTACGGCCTGGCATCTGCGAGGCATAGAATCCACCAAGTCCTGGCAGCGCTTGACAGGGATCCGCTCCCATGATTTTTGAACAACCTCCCAAAGCTGTGATCGAGATGTTGGATTTGCATTTGCAACATATCGTTTAACATCTCCCCATGACATAAGATCGATCCGCTTTGATGCCATCCAGCTTTTGACCAGTTTGCTTGTATGTGTGGGGTTGTTATCTTGTTGAAACGTCCATTTTAGTGGCATTTCCCAATTGGCATAAGGAAACATAACATTTTCTAATATGTTAACATATACAGATCGTTCCATGATCCCATTAATCATGAATATAGGGCCCACTTCACTGTAAGAAAAACATGCCCATACCATAATACTCAATCCGCCGTGTTTAACTGTCTTCAAAGTGTACCTAGGATCGTACTCTGTGTTAGGTGGACGTCTGACATATTGTTTGGAGCCCTTTCCACCAAATAACACAATTTTACTTTCGTCACTCCATAAAATATTTCGCCACTTTGTAATAGGCCAATTAAGGTGACTTTTGGCGAACTCCAAACGTGCTTTCACATGTCTGGTGGCTAACAGTGGAACTTTTCGTGCATGGCACGCTTTGAGATTTTGTTCTTTAAGACGTCGCCGAATAGTAACGCCACTAACATTCAAGCTTAAGTCATTTTTTATCTTGCTGGACGATGCAAAAGGCTGCGCCCTGCTATATTGCACAATAGATCGGTCCTCATGAGCCGTGGTTTTACGTTGGATACCACGATTTTCGGGCATTTCTTTAAAGTTTAAAGCATTATGAATCATTTTAGCAGAACATCCACATATTTCTTGGATGTCTTTATATGTTTTTCCCAGGTTTCTTAGTTGCACTATAATATTTCTTTTTTCAGGGGTACAATGTTTGCCCCTGCCCACTAAGTTAAAAAATATAAATTTATTTTAGTGTTTTCTAATGTTAATAATAGTCACTAACACAAAACCACTTACATTTTATCAATTAAAAGTCTTAACAAAATTTTTTTGGCTTATCAAGATACGCACTGCTATTTTAATGAACAGCCAAAGACTGGTGCTTCTAGCAAAAAGAGTTGTTCATTTGCTTAAATCTCGCAAATCTAACGGGATTTTTTCGTTTCTTCCTTATACACATTCCATTCTACAACAGCAATGCGTAGACGTTGGAATAATCGTAACGGAACTTGAAAAAAAAATAACATTACTTGATTGCATATCTCGCACTGCTATTTTTGTGAACACAGCTGTATGTACTTGTATATGTAAATATATTGTTGTGGAATCATGTGTATATGATAGATATGGGTGTTTTTTGGTAAAAATACTGAAATTACTGATTTGGCTTTTTAGTTGAGTGCAAAAGGCGACACAAATCATTCATTCATTCATCACTTCACATACATACAGACATATTTCAAAACTGGGTAAGAACACACATACATACGAGTATATTTATGTATTTTAACGAGCGTGCACATATCGAGCTAATTTGAAATTGCTGTTTAGGTTAATTAACGCCTGCAAACGCCACTTTTTGAACGTTATTTGCTCTGCTAACATAAGCTATACTTTACATTTCGATGACTTTTCGACCTTCACTGAGTGGCTTTGTGACACTCAAATACTTGTGCTCGTAATGAAGTAGACTCCCCAAAACACGCCAGCAACATTTTCAATGATTTCGTGACCGTGTTTCCATTGGAAACACAAAATTTCAAGCAAACTCGTTATTAAGTCTATTTTCATGATAAAAACCGCCAGACAAACTTTTCGCGTCGTAAATAAACAGCTGGCACACACACACTAATTGACACATGAAGAACAAACTTCACCAGAAATGGTAGCGAAAACTCAGTTTTGATGTCTGAACTTGATACTTTCGAGTGTAGTCCTAAAAGTATCCGAACTGATTTTTAATTTTTTCGAAGATAAATTAGTTATTGGAGTTTATTAAATTATAATTGTTGAATAGTATTTCTATAAAGCAAAAGTGATTGGATGAACCCAATTTTCGAGTACTTTTGTCCCTAAATCAAGTCGTATGTCATTCAGGTTCATTATTGACATCTAAAGCTTGAAGAAAGCCTGGTTTTTTGCTAAAGACCAATGACTTCAAATAGCCCCACAAGAAGTAGTCTAATGGTGTTAAATTACAACTTCTTGGAGGCCATTCAATGTCTCAATTTCTTGAAATTATCGACTCTCCAAACTTTTCTCGCAATAATTCGGTGGTTGCACGGCTGGTCGTGGAGGGTGGCACGTAGTCCCGTCTTGCTGGAACCAGCTGTTGTCAAGATCAACATCATCCAATTGCGGCCATTAAAGGTGGGTTATCGTCGATCTATACCGCTTTTCGTTGACAGTAACGGTGTCACCAGCTTCATTTCGAAAAAAGTACGGACCAATGATAACACTAGAACAAAAACCATACCAAACTGTCAATTTAGGTGAATGCAATGGTTGTTCATGAATAATTTGTGGATTTTCTTTGCAACAGAACCGAGAGTTTTGTTTATTTAGCGCACCGCTCAGATGAAAGAGAGCCGCAGCGAAGAAGGTGATTATCTTAAAAAAATCGCAATTGGAGAACGATTATTTTGATTATAAAATTGAATAATTTGTAAACGTTGTTCTTGGGTATATTTTTTCACGGTGAAATTGTAAACATTACTGAATGCAATGAAAAAAAATTAAAGAACATGACATATTAAAAATGGCCGAAACGACATTTAGAAATTACATTATGCCTATTGGAAAGCCCGATATATTAAAAACCATAAGCAAAACATTTTACACCAAAAAATGGGGAAGCAAGCTCGACTAAATTTTTAGCAAAGGTGTAAGCGTAAATTTTTCACACATATGCATATGTATGTATAACTATATATTTTTAATATAGCTACATATATACACATCTTTTTTTGCCTACAAACATTTAAGCTTTTCGTTTTTAGTCAGTGGTCCACACGCCATTGAACATAACTTCGAGCATTGAACATGGTCCGACCGGAAAGCGTAGCATACAATCGCATTTCCGTTGTTGATACATTGTTGCTGTCCCCGGGTCGCCATTGGCGCACTATTCTTGGCATATAGAACATACAAACATATGTAGTTGTCGCAATACAAAATAGCTAACCGCATATTAGAATATCGAGCGCTTGAGCAGCTGGTTGCCTCCGGTCCACTGGCTGATGGCGGTCATTTTGAATAGTCAGTCGTATGTTTCCGCTCGCTGTCGATTGTTCTTCCTTTAAACGCGTTTGGCGGCACTATTGTGCTGTTATTTTTAGTCGCATAGCTATTTGTTTGTTTACTCTTTATTGTTGTTTTTTTGGTGCATAATTGCCGCCAGAGCTCTTTCACGCGTATCGCTAACGTTTTTACACATCCTTTTTCATTGCTATTTAAGCATTGTTGCATCAACATCGCTTCAACAAATAGACATCAATGCGTGAGTTATTTTACAGACGCATTTTGTATATTGTCGCTGTTTTATTTGTACTGGCCTCTTTGGTATACAACTTTTCGTCGGCGGCATTTATCAACAATGGTATTTGTATTTAATATCCCGTTACAGTGTTACCATGACTGTCATATTCATGCTGTCTACTGTTGTATATGTTGACTTTGCCGGAGCACGCATTGCTTGTTGTTGTAATTTCTTTCATTGGACTTTGCTGCTGTCAATTCCTGTTTGGTGTTGTTAATTGTTAATTCAGGGCACGTTTCAACAAATTCGCATTTTGTACGCGTTTGATGGCAGATAAATGCAATAAGCATAGATGAATACCATCGTTACATTACATATCAATGTTTTGTGCTTGTAAGCTCATTAGGGCGGTGCATATTTTCTTGTGAAATTTTTATTATATATTTATGTGTAGTTTTGCTGGTAACTCGAAAGCTGATTGATTTAAAAATGTATCCCTAATGAGTGGGTGTATGCATTAATTCGTGCGGTTTTTTTACGAAAATTAAGACTTTATTGTGAAAAAATTGTTATACATTTAATGTTCAAAGTATTGCCCATCGGAAGCTATGATGTTTGCCCATCTTTCTGGCAGTTTGTGGATCCCATCCCAAAAGAACTTCTCCGGCTTGGAGGTCAAGAAAGAATCAATCCAATTTCTGATACCCTGTTCTGAAGAGAAGCGTACTCCGGTGAGGGCATTCTGCATTGATCTGAACAAGTGGTAATCGGAAGGTGCTATGTCTGTGCTATAAGGCGGGTGAGGTAGAACTTCCCACCCACAGTTTTCCAAATAGTTTTTAACTGGCCTTGCAACATGTGGCCGAGCGTTGTCATGATGAAAAATTATTGATTCGTGTCTGGTCGCATATTCTGGTCGTTTTTCCGCGATGGCCTTTTTCAAACGAATCAATTGTTTTCGGTAGAGGTCCCCATTGATCTTCTGACCCGATTTCAATAGCTCATAATAGAGCACACCCTTGTGGTCCCACCAAATACATAGCATAACCTTAGCAGCATGGATATTCGGCTTTGCCGTGGATGTTGATGGTTGGCCGGGCTTCACATACGATTTCTTGCGCTTTGGGTTATCATAATGAATCCATTTTTCATCGCCAGTGACAATCCGATGCAAAAACGACGTCTTTTGGTGGCGTTGAAGCAACATTTCCAACATGCAGAATCGACGTTCGACGTCTCTTAGCTTTAATTCATAAGGCACCCAATTTCCAAGCTTCTGGATGAATCCTAATGATTTTAATCGTGTGGAAACGGTTGCTTGATCAACTCCTAATACTTTTGCAAGTTCTTCTTGCGTCTGGCATGCATCTGCGTCGAGCAATGTCTCCAATTCTTTGTCTTGAAGTTTGTTTGGCTGTCCGGGTCGTTCTCCGTCGCCTAAGTCGAAATTGCCACTTTTAAACCGTTCGTTCGGCTAAAGCATGGTCACCATAAACGTCCAGTAAAATACGATGGCTTTCGGCAGCACTTTTCTTCATGTTAAAATAATGAAGAAGAACTCCCCGCAAAAACACTTTATCTGGTACAAATTTCGACTTTTTCAAATGAATGAAACAAATTGTTGTTCACGCTCAAACAATTTATATCTACTGAAAACGACGCGAAATGGCAGTACCTTTGAAATGACTATAGCCACAGATGAATACGACGCGAAATAATACTAGTAGAGCCCTCTCTTAGAAAACCGCACGAATTAATGCATACACCCAATGCCAATATTAACCTAATTTTCCGTACACTTTTTTGATGTGATTGTCATTAATAGAGATGGATTGATTCCATTGGAAGCACAAAATTTCAATGAAATTCGTTGTTAAATTTGTTTTCATGGTAAAAATCGGCAGACAAATTTCTCGCATCGTAAACAAACAGCTGCTAAACATTTAATAATTGACATATGAAAATCAAACTTCACACGAACAAAAGAAAAAAGCTTATCCCAATTTAGAAACTTTTTTTTATCCATTCGGTTTGCGTTGCGAAATTACACAACGGTTTGTCTTTTTATGTTGATCGGAAATAGGCAACGTTTTTAGGTCCAACGTAATTTATAAATATGTATATGCATATATGTATGGAAATAATTATATGTGCACTTGTATAAAAGCAAATTTATGAGTCTGAGCGCGTCTGCGGAGCGACAGCAGAATTTATTACCATTTTGTTGCCTGTCAACACATAAATCTCGTCAATTGCAATTGGTTTTGATTTAAACAAATATAAATATGTGAAGATGCCAGTTTGAATACATGCATTTACATCGACAATTTATATTTTCTGTACTGTGCATTTGTTGCAGGTGTCATTATCTAACAGGATTAATCAGCTTAGCAGAGAATGATTGCGAATTACTTATGAGCCCTCTGAAATCTCGTTATTTATTTTCAATTACTTCGCAATTTTATATTCTTTAATTCATTATATAGTTTTCATCTAAGCTGCGACCGCACTTACCGTTCCTAAATAATAATACAGAGCTCAGGTTAAAGCTAGCATACAAGTATACTATAAGAGATTGAGACAAATTTATAAAATTCTTGTATCAAGGTAAAAAGCTGGCAAGTCGATTGTTTTTATAATCCTTCATCCTCTACATGCACATGTTTACCAATTTTCATTTTCAATTCTTTTTCCGACTCGTTATTCTATTTGACATTGCCTCATATCGCTTGCGGTGCCACCGGGGCGTATGAGCAACCAATAGTTTGCCAATTTCCATGCAATCAATCGCATTTGTCAATTGGCCTCGTTCGTTACTTTCGATTGATTCGCCTGACTTGCTTCACGCTTGTTTTATCGCAGAATAAAAAAATTCACTTTTATTTCATGTTGGTAGCATCCCTGTGTATATGAGTGTGTACTTGTAATTTTCTTTAGCACAAACCACTTCCAAACGAAATTACAATTTCAATGGAATTTGCATACATTTGTAATTGATTCCGAATTCTCATTTACACAGCATTCAGTTGATTTCGCTGTCTTCATCAACAGATTACCATGTTGAGATTTTCACGGAATGTAAGAATTTCCTTTTTTTATAGAAGAATAGATTATGGAGAACACATTTCTTTTGGATCAAGAAGGTTTTGCGAATCAGTAGATTTAAATTTTCGAATGTACCGTTATCCAATGTATTGCATTAATTGTTTGACCGCCAATGCATATAGCGTAGAAGGTCTTTATGTTTCCTTCCGATTTACTTTGAAAAAATCTTTCAGGCTAGGTTAGGTTAGGTTGTAAGATAGATCCAATTGCGCGAAAAGTAACGATGGGTCTCACTTGGCCTGCTGTGAACGTTGGTCCTTTGTGGTACCTAGATAAATAGGTAGGATGGATATGAAAACGCACCTTTTGTGATACCTAAACTTCTAAAAATTCGTCACCAGATCCTCATAGAGCGTTTTGAGCTTACCACAAATTTGTTAAGCGGAAAAAATCAATACCGGGGTTTGCTGGGTTCGCCGAAGGTGTCTCTACTGACATAGTTTAATCGCAGATTGGCAACGGCTAAACAATAAAGGAAAAAGTGACAAGATGATTTCACCTCGCCTTCGTCCATACAGCTTTGGCAAACTACGTCTGACAAAATATTTATCCGCTTTGCTATGAGCAAGTAATTCAGAGAACCTCTCACGGCTCACTGTGGGCCAGAAGGATTACGCAACGCAAAAGTTCTGGTTCTTGGCCAGCGCTTGCCTCGATGACAGTGGAGTACCGATTTGCTTCCAATCAGGTGAAATTACAACAAGGATGTCCTCCTTGCAAGCTTATCGACTTTGCAGTTTTCGGGGATAATCATTTCGAAAAGCTTTGTTAATGATGTCATGCACTCCTTTGATTAGTTTTGAGTGCGCAGTCGGCTAGTTGAAAGCCAGTATAGTCACTATGCTGTTGGAGTGCACACAAATCTCTGAATGAAGCTGCACGTCGCGGCCGTACATTAACTGCTGCCTTAATGGCATTCACCTCTGCTTAAAAGACATAACTTTTTCAGTCAACCTGAAGCTAGAGTTGATAGAGAGCTCTAGACAGAAGGCTCCACCCTCGCTCTAAACTTCGATCCATTTGTGAAAAGCCTCATTACACCTCTTCTCCAACGGCTTGGCCCCACCCATAAATCCTTCGTAGATGTGTGAGGAGAGAAGGAATCGCCATGAGAAGTTTTTCTGATGCAGTGATCCAGATTGTTAGGAACTTAATCGAATTAGTGTAGAATTTCACTATTTCTCTACTTTATACTCCTCATATTCCCAGCTTCTCTGAGTCTAATAGCAGCCTTTGCCGAAAAAAAATCAGCCAACTATAATATTTTTGTAAAAATTACGAGAGAATGTTCGATTTCATCTGAAAGATTCAGTATTTTTGTTACCTAGTTAGTTTGGAAGTACTTTTTTCTGATCATTTATTTTCAGATATGGGCCTGACTAAGCAATACATAATCGATCAATATTTTCCAGCCACAACTAGTACTAGACAAATTAATTTAAAATATTTTTTTTTTGCCGGGAAGATGGCACAAATTTATATATTATATTTTTATATTTTTTATAAATGAGTAATTTTATAAAGGAACAATTTTACATCGAATCTTTGTGTGTCAATTCTAAACAGCTACGGTTTTCAACAGTACATATTACACCTAACGGGAACGATCTGCTATTTCATATTGGCTCGCTACACTCTAAGCCACACATATCTCTAACTTAGACATTTCTTTTTCCAACCGCTCGATGCAAGTGTTTTGCGGCAAAACGGCGCGCAGTTTCCTCCAGAAGTTGAGATCTCCCCACGTTAGGTAGGTGTTCGCTTGAAGGCACGCCTTTAGTTCGCTATCCAAGCTATCAAAGTCGTCGATGTCGCCATAGATTATGATTATCAAACGGTGTTGCTTTGAAGCTAGTGCAGTTTTATGCGCCATACGGAATTCCGTGTCGGACCATACGGTTTTTATGAAATTCTGCGACAATATCACTATAGTGCGCTGCGACTCGTTTACAGAACGCACAATATGCTGTGTGAAACAATCGCCGACGATCCAGTCACGACTGTGTAAACACAACCGATATTGTATCGGTCCATTCTCTAGCTCGGGTTTCAAGTGCTCTAAGATGAAGTGTTCATCCAGCGGCGCATAAGAGACAAAAGCGTCGTAATACTTATCGTCAACTTCCATTTTGACGTCGAAACACCTACACATTCTATTTCTATATTTGCGATAAATTATAGTGCAAATACCGATAATCAATATATTGAGTGCGATTGTCAGACCAATGATGAAGAACCAATTCCGTTTGACTGGGCATATTTGACTTTCGCTAATATCGCGAAGTCTTAAGCTGGTCGTTGAATTAGCCAAATTCATGAAACAGCTCAAGTGTTGCATGTCGTGTTCGACGAGTTTACTTCGTACTGCCACACTTTGTGCGAACTCCAACAACGGTTTTGCCGCGCAATCACAAGTCCACGGGTTTTGTGTGAGAAAAACAGCTTGCATATTTGAGCTGCTGTTAAGAAAGTTCAATACACCTGCGCTCAAATTCTTCAGTAGATTGTGTCGTACATCCAAAAACTCTAAATTCTTTGGTAGATTATCCAAATTGAGTTCCTGCAGTTGATTGTCGGCGACGTGTAACGCCACAACATCGGCATAACCGTGAGTAACATTGAGGGGCAGGCTCTCCAGCCTGTTATGCGATACGATCAGTTCAATGCCTTTCAGTATCGACACACTCGGTAGCGTTGGCATTCGTGTCAGTTCGCTATATGAACAGTTAATGATCAGCATCAAATCGATCGGACGTACTAAGCACTCACAACCGTGCGGACACAACTTCTCTTGCGAATATTGATCATCCAGTGGACATACCAGTTCCATGTAGCTAAGATCGATTATTTCTTTCTCCTTTAATGCTGGCGGTCCTTCACACCGCAAATTATTGGTTAAGATTTCAAATTTGTTCCCCACATTTTCGTTCAACTCGCCGAATATGAATTGTAGAAAATGTAAGAGTACACAGTCGCAGTGTAGTGGGTTGTCGTTAAGGTCCAAAACTATGGTACGTGCGTCCGCGTGTAATTCCATGCTGTTGATGCCATTGAAATTGATTTCCTCTATGAGATTATGTGACAGGTTAACTTGTATGGCATGTTTGCTCAGAAAACGCAGATCACGATCGGAGAACATATGAATGTTATTGTAACTGAGGTCGAGTTTGCGCAGTTCGAGCAGTTGTGTTCTCCAATCCTTATGTAGGTACATTATAGAATTATTACGCAAGTTGAGTTCGCGCAGTTTAAACAGGAAACGGAAAGGCGAGGTGGAGTCAATTGCGAAGTCTTCGTCCAAAGAATCGAGCGATGTTGTATCCAGTGACGTTGTATCTAGCGGATCCGCGAAATCGATTTCGTTATTTGCCAAATTGAGAAATTGCAGGTTGGCCGTGTCGCGGAAAGCATCAAAGCTGATACTGACCAAGTTATTGTTATCGAGTTGCAGCAGCTTCAGATTCACTAAAGGTTTAAAGATCTCACTGAAAGTGTAAAAAATAAAAGGTTTGATTAATATTTACTCGATATATGCGCTATTAGATAGATTTTTTTGTAAATATTTGATGAGGTACCTTGATATTTCGACGAGCCGATTGTGTGACAATCTCAGTTCGATGAGATTCGTTGTAAAACCGAACACCGATTGCGGCAAGTTTTCCAAACGATTATTGGACAAATCTAGGTCATAGAGATTGTGCTGATACTTGAAAAAGTTCTCGGGTAATGTATTCAGCATATTGTTTTTCATTGTTAGGTTTGTAAGTTTAGTGGCATTGGCGAACAAATCTGCCGGTACCTGTTCCAAGCCACATATCAAACGAACTTCTTCGAGAAACGTCAAATTCGCGAATAGTGCAGGCGGTAAGGTTTTCAGCCGTACTTTGTTGTTTACGAGTCTGAATTCCGTAAGGTATTTGTTCTGCGCAAATAATCCACCAGGCAGTTCACGAATTTTATTCATATTTAGATCTACACTCCGCAAACTGCCGAGTAACGAAAAAACATCATGTTCAAAGATTTCAATTTCGTTCGAACTGAGATCCAGCAGCACCAGTTGCCCTGCTCCACGGAACGCTTCTTTGGTGAGTGTACGCAGGCGATTGCTCCACAAATTTAAATGTTGCAACTTCTGCTGATTTTTAAATACACCTTCGGGCAGGTGTTCCAAAAAATTGTGCCCCAAATCCAGATATGTTAAATTCGGCAAAGCTTCCAGCAAGCTATCGTTCAGCGTCAAGTTGTTTGAGCGCAAATCCAACCATATGAGACTTTTTAGGTTTTCGAAGAGATTGTACGGTAAACATTTTTGTGATTTCACGCTCAACCTCAAATGCTGCAATTTCTCCAGACCGCTTAAATGCTGTTGTGTAATATTGTCGCTGGACTCGTCGATTGCATACGCGAAATAATTAACTCTCTCGACGCCAAGTTGTGTAAACAATTTAGCTATCGGCTGTTCATTATGCGGCAGTGGACATTGTTTGATTTGCACGATTTTGGTGTAACCAATTTTCAACTTTGGCAAAATCTCATAGTCTTCGGGTGCAATGTCCTCACACTCGATCTTAACATTCTTTCCTGGTCCGATGCGTAGGTTAAATTTGCCATTCGATTTGGCTGACGCGCATTCGATCTCAAAATGCGCAAGTTCCGTTGTGCACTGACAGTTCGAGTCGGCGCTTAGCGTTTTACAGTTCTCCGGCGTGAAAACTGCGTCGATCCTTGGCAGTTGTCTGGCAAACATAAGTAGTAGGAATCTTATGTAAAAACACTGAAATATTTTCAAATTATTCATAATACTGAGTTAGTTCCGTATTTTCTCTGTATGTTAAGATAGTGATGCTATTAATGCAAAAAGTTTTGCAACTGGTTTGAAAATTTTTCACTTTCCGCTTTTATACTTTTTTTCGAGCTCAGCGCTATGCAGGTAAAAGAAATATTAACACCTATATTATACCTATGTTAGGTATGCCAGTATGTTTGGCTTAATACGGGGGAAATTCCGCGGTCTTACATCGCCTGTTTACCTGCGTGCCTGCCAAATTCTAGCTAAAAAGATATGTTCGCGATTTTTACACAGTTTTGGGATTTTCAAGTACACATATTACGTAGTCACAAACAAATGAAAGTAACAGTAAATACTTGTCACTTAATAAATTTTTAGTATTGTTTGCCATATGCTCTATTGTCCTAAATCATAATAATCGAAATACATAAAAGAATAATTTTTTTGGGAAAATTTCGGATTTTAATTCATTAAAGTCCTTGCAAAGGGTACGTGTTTCATGTAATATTTATGATTGATGAAAGGTTCGATACAGGGTGCTCCAATATTTAGTTACTTTTTAAATATTAAAAAGAATAATTTAAGCACAATTTTCTATTATCTATGGAACTCGATTTCATATTAATGATTTCAAATCACACAGATCTTGTCTCTTAACTCAAAGCTGTCGTGTAATGAATATACAGTTTTCGCCATTTCGTGACCTCATCCTTTTGTGTCAGAAACAAAAGTTTAATGATTTTTCTTAGACATTTACCGATTATATTAGAACAAAGTAAAATATGTAAATTAAATTTAAAAATAATGGGAAACTGTTATCAAATTATTGCATTGGCATCGGTCCTTGACATGTCTGCAAAGTTTCAAGTTGATCAGACTTCTGGAAACCGGTGAAAATTGAGCTCTAAGATTCCATTAATACATACAACCCAAGCTAATAAAAGCCTATTAAAAAGCAGTATGAAAGTGCTAAGTTCGGGTGTAACCGAACATTTAATACTCTCGCAATTTTCGAATATTAAAGAAGGGGAAATACCTGAGTTTCATTACGATATCTCACAGATTGGCCGAATTACGTATATGGCATAAAGTCAAGTAGAAGTTTGAAAATGTTTAAATCAGGGAAGTATTGACCAGATTATATCAATTTGCGGCACAATGTTAACAGGAAATAAAAACTCTTGAATTTTAATAATATAATAGCCAGCCACCGACCGTCTTTGATATGAGAACTATATTCGGTATATGGGGACTTGAAAAGTTGTATTTTGATTTCGCTCATTTAAATTTTTTGCTTGAACACTTGTCGTCACCGTTTGATCCTGTTCCTTTTGATATACCACATAACTCTATATCTTTTTCGATTAGTTTTAAGAAATGTGAAACATGTCGCGAGACTATAAAAGTAGTATCTGCAAAATCAAAATAACTTCAATATTTTTTGCCATTACTTATATTCAATTTCATTACCATATCCGGTGTATCCAACTCCTTTACATTGAAAACGAATTCAATTACACTTTCTGCTGTTCGAGTGCGGAGTGGCAAACTCGTTCATTCAGACGTAACAAGCCACTGTATACTTGCCACATTCGCACAGTTCAAATACCCACAACCGTCAGTTTCATCCCAATCGACAAGCTAGCCATCTAGGCGAAACCATTTAGGCAGTCTTTCAGTCAATCGACCCCTCATAGCGCTGCAAACGTCGCTGCAGCCATCATAACAAGCCTGGCCATGAGCCGCTCTCTAAATCTAACAAATCCACATTGTCATTTATCAATTTAGTTGACAGTCAATTTCTTTTCGATTCCGCAACATCACTCGAATTGATTTAGTCGCCTTTGCATGCAAGCGCTACCCGATAGAGAAATCCGCTAGTTAACTTTCCGTACTGTATGTATGGAAATGTCTGCAAGTGAAAAGATTTTCTGCAATTGAAACGGGACATTTTTTGATTTCTTCCTGCGGGGTTTATACTCCTACGAGTGTTTGTAGGTTTGTGGACAAGCGTGTTTAACAGTGACACACTGCAAGCGGGGTACTACGCTTGATGAGCCTGGGGTTGAGGGCATGTATTGCGGAAGGGTGGCTTAACAAGCATTTGGTGTCGGCCAGACTGCTAGCACTCAATCAAATTCAAGCAATTGAAATAAATTGAGTGTTGTCTGTGTTGGCACTATTGTGTGTTTAGATGTTTGTATGCAGGCAATGAACATAAAAATGAAGTAAAATTTGCTAGATAACTTATATGTTAAATTTGAGGAGACAATATTTGACATATTTTACAAGGAATTTAATAAAGAGTTACGTATGCTCTTACATCTGGCGAATCGTTTATATGTATGTGTGTAAAATGCTTGAATAAAATCCACAAGTAAGCTCTAATATATGTAATACCAATTTCCATCATCTGTTTAGTTTATCAAAACTTAGAGAGTGGTGTATCGAATAAACAACTGGTATAAAAGCAAGGGGTTATACAACTTTAGCATGGATTGTATTCATCGTTCGATGAGATAGGAAAGTCCTAATATAGTGGGCTGAGAATGAGAGATAGGCAGGCGTCGTATGTCTACAAAGATGTGAATGATGCTTTAAAAGCAGTTAACCGCTTTTAACGAGCGAGTTATTGTGTTCAGAGCTCTGTAAAAACCGTAAATCCAAAAGCCCTTAAAAGTTGTACACATTTCTATATTTATCTACTAACATAATATTCCATAAATATACAACATTTAGAGAATTTATTTTTATGATCTCGAAAAATTGTGCTATTGACAATTAAATAAATTGATGAACACTTTTCGAAAGGTCGCACGGTCTTAAACACTTCTTTCTACTTAGGTTAATAAATAGTTTTAACTTCTGTTTTTAATTATTTTTTTTAAATATTTAATTACCTTTATTTCATCCAACGCTAGGCTCTTGTCTCGTCGAGAACCAACAGACCACCAGTATGGGCAAAAGCAATTCACAACTACGTTCCAATCGCTCCGGCTCACCGTATTTGCTGTACACCGATGGAGCACTTTGTGATGGCCAAAATAAGTGGTCGACAAGAATTGAGTTTGTCTGTGCCAACAATGCTACCAAAGACAATGGGACTGCGAACGGTAGCGCTAACGGCAACACCAGCAATGCATTGGGTCCGAAAATAATCGAAAATAAAAATTGCCAACTACTAATTCACTTTCAAACACCATTGGCTTGTCATGAGCAGATTGCCTGCAAAGTCAAAGTCTACGTTGAGCATTCGGAGGACGGCACCGGCGAGGAGGTGGTCGATTTGACGCCATTAATAAGTGCAACCGACAACTATGAAGCTGAAATTAATAACGCATCGATAACGGAACAACAAGTGCCTAAATCGACCAAGGTGAGACCGAGAAGCGAACACTTTGTGTATGACTGTGGGTGTGCACGTATTTGACGCGGCTGTTGCAGAAGTTCATTGTCAAATAATGTCTGCTCTTTCGTGTGCACAAATGCAACCATCAGCACACCAGCGCAGTTGAACATTTCATTTTCATTCCAACAAATTTTTAATATCTATCGGAAAACATATTTACACATTTGTTCATGCATTTCAGTTTTTCCTCAATGTCTGCCGTCCATTGGTGCCGAAATTCGGCTTAGGTTGTACGGGTGGCTCGGCAGCTTGCATGGCTAAGGTGGATTCATCGTCAGCAACACCCGAGGAGGAGAAGGTAAGCTTGCGTGCATTAAAGTATTTTTCAAAATCCGAATTCCAAATTTAGTCGTTGCTGTTGTTGTTCAAGGCTTTCGCCTTTGGCGTGCTTGCAACTTGCATATTGAAGCATCCTTGGGAATTCCTTGTGGGAATTAATTAAAAACGACACCACTACAATTTGCTATTGCGCTCCATTGTGCTATGTCGCACCACTTGTACTGCACTGCTCCGCTCTGCACTGCTCTGCTATTGATGAGGGAGCCGTTGTAGTGCTGCATTTTTAATTTGTGCCCCGATTTCCTTTCTACCGTTATGACGAGCTCTATGCACTCGTGTGTAGGTATGTATGAGTGTGTATGTATATACTTGCTTATTTCTTCTGTCAGATTGTCATTTTAATTATGCAATCACTTATGAAATCGTTGAGCTTGTCAACCAGTGGTTGCAGTCAATAATAATATGGGAAAATACAATGTACAACATCGACAACAACAGCAACAACAGAATATGGCAATCGAACAAGTTGGTTTTCAATTTGTGCTGGCAAAGTGATTAGGATTTTTAAATTTACAATCAGCAACAGCTGGCGAAAATGAAGATAAATCTATAGCTTTTATTCAACAAATAATGGGAGGTCGGAATGAGTTGGTAGAGTTTGAGGTAGTAAAATATAGTTTCACAATGTGACGCTAATCCAGTCTGTAATGAAAGCATGGTTAGAGTAGGTTTCGTGTGTGCAGATGTTGTGAAACCTCCAGGTTTATTTTGAGATAAAAGAGCTCCTAAAAAATGACAATTTGGAGAACGAATTATCAAGTCGAAGAGAATTTGAGCATCTTGAGGGGCCATTCCAATTGTATTGATTTATGATTTTCACTTTGGCCCAACAGAAAGGATGGTCTCTCAGTACTCAGGCAATGTCAAAGCTAAAACATTATTTTTGACAGGAATAATTTTCAAATACATTTCTCAGTCATTTTAAAACAATTACTACAGAATAACTTGCCAAGAGCTGCCAAATAAGACTTCTCTTTAAGACCATAGGGTCCAGTGGGACAAATGCTTTCCATTGTACTTAGAATGTTAGTAATCGAAAAAATTAATTAGCAGCTTGTTCGAAGATCAAAATGAGATCAAAACAGTTTATCTCTGGTACGTGTCTTTACGTTTTCCAAAAAAATATCAGCATATTTTCACAATATTACATTTCGCGTGTCAGAACGGATATTTGAGGGTTGTCTTTTATTACAAAATATCTACTTTTATAATTGCTAAATCTGCCGGGATTTGAAGATTTTCTGAATAAGTCCTGAGCCTCACTTATGATAATTTTTAAGGATGTTGTAATCGAATTTAAATAATATCAGTCTGAGAAATGGTTTCAGCTCGTATCAAATGTATGTATAAATATACAGGTTTCATTGTCTTGCCTTGAGGCAATTAAAATCTTAAAGTTGGTCAGGTTTAAAGTAAAACCTGTTACATTATACAAAATTTTACCAGAATCGCCTGGGTGAAACCCTCTTCGCATGGTATTATGTAAGCGGAATATAAAGTCTTGTTTGAGCTCCCTGAGTGATTACAGTTTATCTTTAATATATGTGCCTTGCAGTGCTAAGTCAAAGAAAGTGCGCACCTTCAAAAACTCTTGTTGTATTCGCTGATTAAAAGGGCATGCAACAACCTTCCGCAAATAGCAATTATCGCTGATGCATCTGAGGCGAGAATTCAACAGCTTCATGGCACCGTAATTGAGCAAAAGAGCTGTCGCACAACAACAACACCGCTCAATGGATAAATATGAAGCGGCAAGGGTGAATGTTTTGTTGAATGGTAGCAAGCATTCGTGCAACACCAATCTATGGATACGTGGGGTAGACATGTGCGTTTGCGTTTTCGAGCGACTTAACGTGTTAATGATGCTACAAACAAATCGAATGGCGAATGGTGAATGATGAATTGAAAATGAGGCCTGCTAAATGCAAAACAAGCGGATCTACCGCTGTATCTTGCTTCGTTCGGTCATGAGGTACAAGCTTTCAGAAGCATGAATTGTGAACTTCCCGCGATAGCTAAGCTCTTCGTCATTCATGCAGCAACCAATTACATATATGGGAAAAGATGAAGCAACGGCAGTGCAGGCTTTTACCTACTAGCCAAAGATGAGTCGGGCGGCTACCTTTGAAACGCTGAGTGTGCCTTTTTGTACGCAATTTCCACATAATTCTTCGAAGTTTGCAATTACTGTATATCAAGTGCATATCTTTGGCTTCGTTGCAACCGAACCAATACGCATTGGGTCGCATGGCTGCCTTATGGGATTTATAGTACTACCATGATGTAACAATTGTTATTTTACTTATCATACATACATACATACAGTAAGTATATACACAGCATATGTATTGTTTTGCTGTATTGTTACATCCGTTGTTGTTGTTGCTCTTCGTTACCGTCGGGAATTTTCGTTCTACTACAAGTATATTCTGCATACAGTATCAGCCTAAGCGCAGGCATTGTGGACCCGACCAAAGTTTGTTATCAATACACGAAATTAACAGTTGGTCTTGGCTGAAGAGCCAGCAATACACAAGTGGCTCATTGCTGGTATACCGAATTGCCCACGTGTCGTCAACTTGCGTTATGCATTATTCCATGTACGAGTATGTAAGCAGAGTGTCTCTGGCAAATGCATTTAAATTGCTTACATTATATAAGCGCATTAAGCAGCCCCAAAGAGGATGCTAATGTCGTTTTCGTAGTTGAGGAATGATACTCAGGTTGCAACTTATTACTTGATTCATGCATTTGTGTAGCCATAGTAATATTATTATTGATAGTTTGTGAACAATAAACGGTTAGTCAATTTTAAATTTTAAGTAAAATAATCAGCTTTCTGGAAATGACTCGAAACCATTAGAATGCTCTGTTTTTCGTATGACATAAATCGAACACCACAAATAGAGAGCGATACACACTTTCTAAAAGCAAACAAGAAAAAAAACGAAAAAGAAAGAAAATATTTACCTTTATTGTTAATAAAACATCGCAACTATAATTTCCAAACTCTTAAACAAAGTTTTGTAAAATATTTGTCAGTTCCTCGCTTTCTTTATCAATCCTAAATAACAGTTCTCGTTTTCCACTTCAAGTAAACATTTTTGATTAAATTGTCTTAGTTTATCTTTAATATTTGTAAGTCTTCATTTAGAATTTCAACGTGGAAATGTTCGTGCTTTTGCTTTTTATAAAGGATTAGAGAAAGTACGCCATCCTTACGCCATTCTTATTCTTAATGTCTTTTGAACTACATAGTTTCTTAACTCTGTACTTATGTGCTTTTCAAGCTATATAGTGCACAGGGCTACCAATACTATTGACTTTCGGGCAATGGAAAATATGGCATCTGTTCAAAAGCAAATGACTTATCTCTCGACATTTCTCACTTCATCTCTGCAAGGAGCTCAACACGTTTCTCTACTAAATCAACAGTGACCATATTCACGAACTGAACGAAAGAATACTGATTGGAACTTAATACTGCAGTGAAGAGCATACCAATTTCGACTCTTAATAGCCCTAAAAATGTATGTGTTTCACTCGACAGACTGTATTCCTTCACTCCGCCTACGACCGCGATTATTGTCAAAATACAGAGTCGCAACAAAATCCTCAAGTAGTTAGTCCCTGAAGAAAGGCAAAGAAACGTTGTTGGCAACTTGAAAGCCAATCGGCCGACCGGTCATGAATTACTCAGCGCCGGTATGTTCATGGGGATGTAGTCAGACGAATAAGCTACAGACTTATCAGAATACTGCACTCCGGTGCAATGCTTCTTAATGTCTCTCATCGAAAAGCGAGCAACTTCTCTTAAGGCAGTTTCTACAAGTATAATTCTTTCGCTGATGTCATCATTGCTCCGTTATCTGCTTGGAGCGTAGCCGCCTGCTAGAAGCATCAAGAGAACATTTACCAATTTGTCTACGGACGTAACGGGCTTTAGGTAAGCACTGAACGCCATTCATATTTTCAGCCTCCCGGAGAATGGCGTCCTTGGAGTCAAACCACCATTCATAGCAGAAGAAGAGCTCGAGTTACCTCGCGAATGCAGAGCGAACTTTGCACACGGTTTTGAACACTGTCGCTGGTTAAAGTTTTATTTATCCAGAATCGACCCCAACATACCAAATCTATGTCTAGCATGCAACGTGTCCCCGCTAATGACCTGACCACCTCTTTGCATGCCCTATGAAACCAACTCATCTAACAACTCTTCCGACCTCTTTGAAACAGCACGTTTTCTGTGCATCCCGTCCGATTATTTTGATGGCAATCAAGAACCCTTACAACAACAACCACCACTCAATGTTTTACGATCTGTAAAAACGAGTTTGCTTGGCGAAGCCAACAGATTATCTTATTTATATCTGAAAAAGAAAACTTCCTTGTTTTAAATAAACACGTACATTTTCATCAGAAACCGTCGTTTAAGAATATTTTCTCACATATTAGTTCTTTTGACAACAACATCATGCCCACACTTCAAACAAAGTTAGCCACCATAAGCCAAAATATTAAATTTTCAGCATTCAATTTAACATTGTTGCGCGCGTGCGATTTGTGAAAGAATTCTAAACAAATATTTATTCATATAAGAGTATGCAATATATATATTTTCATATAGCTACCGTATATCGCAAATACAATTTTTTAATATTGGTGTTCCTGTGGTTGCTTCGCATCTATATTTTCTCTTTTCCATGAACTTTTGTGACATTTTCCGGCTTTCCACAAAATTCTCGCGGCCGAGACATCGCTTAATAGATAAGAACGAGCACGTATGCCAAGGCATATTTGCGTGCTGTAAAATCCGCTGAGACAGATGCGTACGAGCGAGTTAACAGCCGAAAGTTGCTGAAGGAAAAAAGCGAAAGAATTCAAATAATAACGGTGTAAAGGTTGGAGTAATAATACGCTAACTTTAGCAAAGGGATGTGAGTTTGAGGAATATGCTCA